GACTACACGTTCTCCTTTTTCATCGTCATCCAACAATCCCCTCCAACACCACATAATCCTCATCTCAAGTTTATCTCCAGGGCTTTCCGAGTGATGCGCCTCTTCGGAAGACTAGCTTCTCTTCGCCTCGTGAGCCCACCAGGAAGCGAGTTGCCTGTACTGACGTCTCGATGTGATTTCAGATCATTAACTCCCTGTGCTCCTCCATCGTCCCTGTTCTCAAACGCGTTCCTGATCATGTTGTTGATAACTTCCATCTATGCGATCTTGGTGTGCGCCAGGTGTTGTCATGGCATGTTCCAGGTGATCCATATGACAGGCCGTTAATTTCTTCGGGAGTACAAGTCCAGAATACTTTGGGACTTTCACTGCGGCGCGAGAGAATGAGAGAGAGAGAGAGTACTGGTGAGCGATGGGGAGGAGGGGGGGGGGGTTGGTAAAGATCGAGCGAGCGAGGGAAGGAGGGAGAGGACAGAGTGAGACAGAGACAGAGACAGAGAGACAGAGACAGAGACAGAGAGAGGGAGAGGGAGAGAAAGAGGAGAAAAGTGACAGGTAGAGATGAAAGGAAACTGACAGTGGTGGAGGGGAGGATGAAAGGCAAAGACAGGAAGGAAGAAAGGCAGGAGAGAGAGCGTGCTAGTCCGTCCAAACCATCATGTTAATTGCATGGCAGGGATTATAACAGACCGGTGGCATCGTCGCATGAAACATGGCGGGAAAGCGACAGGCAGAAGGATTTTCCCACGTAGTCCATCCCTTCAAGTTTCCTTCAGCAACGGGGATCACACCCGCGGTACCTCGTTCTCCTCCTTGTGCCCCAGCGCATGTTGACGTCCTTGTATGCAGCTGTCCCGCGGGAGGAAGGGGGAGCAAGATGCCGTAAGGAAGTTTGTCGTTCCCCCGATACACGGTTTCGAGAACCTCAGGTACAGCAGGCTGTCACTTCCTCTATGTCCTGATGCTCCGGTGCTGGCTAGCTCCTTCGGGGGGAAGTATGGGGAGAGCAAGGTGTGGCTGACTTCTAGATATCAAGGTGAGTGATGAGGCGATGAAGTTTTGGTCTCGATGTTTGTCAGTCCCATTATCTCTCCTCCTGTCGTCTCCGTCTCTTCCTCCTCGTCGTCATCCTTCATCTCCATCTCCTCCTCCTCCTCCTCCTCCTCCTCCACCACCACCACCACCACCACAATCTCCTCCATATCCGTCTCAATTTCTGCCACTATTCCCCGTGTGGCTGTCTCCCTTTGGTTCCCTTCCTTAGGCGGCAGACATGTGATATGCTCCTGCAGAGGTCACATCGAGGAAGGGCAAGAAGAAAGGATGGCAGACGGAGAGATTTGGGTAAACCTCCTCCCCTTCTCGACCCCCTTCCCTTGCCTTCTCTCCCTCCCTCCCTTCCTCCCCTTCCCTTCTCTCCATCTCTCCCTTCCTCCCTCCCCTCTCTTCCCTCCCTTCCTTCCTCCCCTTCTCTCCATCTCTCCCTTCCTCCCTCCCCTCTCTTCCCTCCCTTCCTTCCTCCCCTTCCTCCATCCCCTCCCTCATCACACATCTCAGGCAACGAAGAACGCCTCGGGTTGAAACAACCATCAAGTAAGAATCTCTTCAAAGATCTTTTCATGTCTTGATGTCCGTTACTGAGATACTCGTTTGTTGATGAGTTTCCTTTCCAGACCTCCCTCAACTAGTCGATCGCAGTCAATCCAGGTAGTCTTGTACCTATCTTGAGTTTTTGTTGTCTTGTGTTGCTCCTACTGCCCAGATTCTGTTGTGCTGTGTTTTGTTGTTTCTCCTATTGAGGTTTGTTTTGTTTTGTTTTGTTTTGTGTTCCCTGCGCTGGATTTTGTTTGTGCCTGATAACGTCGTTCAGGGCGTCACATGGAGGTTCTTGAAAGATGTCCGGACAACAATTCCCTTGCAGTGAGAAGCGATTTCACACATGAGCTCGTGGCGTGACTGCGGAGAGCTCAGGAAGCGGGAAGACAAGACCTTGGACGAGCGTGAACTTGACGGAATGTACGATGACATGGACTACGAGAAGTGAGGGAGGAGGGAGGAGGCGAAAGTTTTGTTTCCGACCGGCTGCTTGCCCGCAGGCTGCTGATGGAGCTGGACGCGGAAGATTTAAGGAAACAGTACGTCAAGTTCCAGCAGATACAGCGGGTTGTCACCTGACCCCTCCACCTGACCTCCTTCCCCACCCTCCCTCTCCTAACCTTTGTTCCCTCCGTCATGCTGCCAACATGCCACCCCGCCGTTTTCGTCCCTCGTCGCTGACCGCCGTCCCTGCTGGCAGGGTGGAGTGGAGGAGCAAGAAACTCCAGCAAGCCATCAGGTATGAACCTCGCTTCCCCTCAACTCGATATGATCCGCATGCCCCGCAGAACGCTGTTAAAGTTGCGCAAGAGGAAAAGGAGGAGGAGGAGGAGGAGGAGGAGGAGGAGGAGGAGGAGGAAGCCGAGCAAGGGGAGCAGGGGAACCAACAGGAGAAGGTAGAGCACAGGCGAGATCTGTGTTGCCTCCCCTTACCAGCCACAGGTGACTGCAGCCCTACCAGCTCGAACTTCGTCAGCGCCGCAGCCAAGAGGTAAGGAGGGTGCAACGGTCGCTGCTGCTGCTGCTGAAGCTCAAGTGTAGTCGAAGACATCATCCCTCCTATCATCTGGCATGCTCCGACTCGCGTCAAAATCGCAGAAAACCTCCCCAACGAGCTCAGGTCCCCCTCCCCCTCCTCCCCCTCTTCCCCTCTCTCCCTACCCCTTCTACTCCCCCTCCTCCCCCTCCCCACCCTCCTCCTCCTGCCTCAGCATCTCCCGCCTTCATTGTCGTCCCTGATATCATCCTCCTCCTGACTACTTCTTTCGTTGCTATTCCTGCACTCTCTCTTCCACTTCTCTTGCTTGCATTCGAGGGCTGCGAGGAGCTTCGTTTCTTCTTCCTCCTATGACCCCCTCACCCGGTTCTGATTCTCTCGTCAGGCATGAAGCTGACATGGACGAATCGTTTGTCAAGGATCGGCGGGTAGGAGGAGGAAGAGAAAAAGAGGAGGTCAGACAGGGTGTAACTAGCAGCAGGTGGTCCCGGACTTGTGGGATCGAAAATTTTTGCCTGTCAGCTCTCGATCTGTCATACCCAGAGTGCCGAAAGACTCTCCTAGATATCGATCTCTTCACTACGGTCCTCCTCCTCCTCCTCAACCTCTCCATCCTTTCTCGTCCTTCTTCCTCCTTCTTGTTTTTCTCCTGCTTCTTTCCTCCTCCTCTTCTCTCCTCGCTGCCTTCCTCTCGCATCTCCCCTCGCCCCCTCTCCTCCCCCTTTCTCCTCACTCTATCTTCCCTCTTTTATTCTCATCCTCCCCCAGGAGCATGGTACGTCCCGGTCGATTCCTGGAAGGACATGGTAACGGACGCAAGGCGGCGACAGACGAGGAGCAGAAACGGTCCTCTTCTCTCCTTGTCTCGTCCACGTCTTCTTCTCCTCCATGACTGCATCCTAGCTGTTTCTGCTGCATCCAAAGAATCTAACCTTCTCCGCTCTCCTCCTCCTCCCCTCTCCCTCTCTCCTCCTCCTATCTCCCTCTCTCTTCGCTGTTCTTCCTCTTCTCGTCGCCCCTGCTTGTCCTCACGTTGTCGCCGATGCAGGAAGCATGCCGCAGATGACGGGGAAGGAGGAGGAGAAACTGATGAGCCTGATGGAGAAGGTGAGGGACAAGGGAGAGGGAAGGAGGAGGATGGTGAAGGGAGGGGGGGGGAAGAAATGAAGAGGGAGGAGGGAGGAGGGAGGAGGGAGGGATAGGTAATGTTTTTGTACAGGCACAGGACGAGATTGTAAAGCTTCCAGGAAGCAAGATGTAAGGGGTGGATGAAGAGAACTGAGGGAGGGAGAGAGAGGAGGCAGTGACAAGGGGAAGTTGTAGGGAGGTCGAGGATTCAAGGACAACGCCAGGGAGGAGGAGAGTGGAGGAGGATAGAGGATTTAGCAGAGGAGGCAAGGGCCAGGAGAGAGATGAAAGGAGGGAGGGAGAGAGGAGAGAGGGAAGGGAACAACCAGAGAGAGAGAGGGAGACGGAGGGGGGGGATGCTGGAGGAGGGGGAGGAGAGCAACCAGGCTTGTTCGGGTGAGAAAGTTACAGGTTCTATAAGTTCTTGAAGAATCAAAACCTTCGCGTGCCCTCCTGCCTCAAGGGTATCGAGACGGCTGAGGAGAGTTGACGGGGAAGAGGGAACGACTCATAGCAGGATGACTGCATGTCTCTCCGAACTTACTTCCTTTCTGATCAACACTTGTACTTGTTCCTTACTTCCTTTCTGATCAACACTTGTACTTGTTCGGTGGTGAACAAACCTTGTTTCTAACACACTCTCCTCGCAACAAGATATCGAGGCTGAATGCACCATCTCTTTGATCTCCAGCAAGCACACTCTTCAACTCTCGGTCATTTCCCTCCTCACCATTTTCCATCGGGCCCTCCAGCTCCCAGGCCTGTCGTAAGGCATTTGACAAGGCTAGACGTCACCTGTAGATCGTCACCCTCCACCGGGAAGAGACTGGAGACGAACAAGACTCCACTTTCTCCTCCTGCTCCAGCATCTCTCCTGCTCCATCCAACATATCTCCCCCCCCCTCTGTCTCCCCAATCCATTCCAACCACCTCCTACCCCTTCACCTCCTTCCCTGACCCCTTTTCCTTCCTCTGCCCTTCCCTCTCCCCACCCATCCTTGGACTCCCTCCTCTACACCTCTACTTCTCTCCTCCTCTACACCTCCACTTCCCCCTCTCCTCCTCTCTTCCTCTCCTGACCTCAGCGATGTCTCCCTTGTGGTCCAGATATTCCTGCACGGGACCCCCGGGGTGGAGGCTCAGGCCGTTGGCGCTGTTGTCTACCGCACACACGAGGACGTACGGCAGACAGAGCTCCTGTGAGAGGCGGAGATGAGGAAAAGAAAGTCGGGCAAGAGCAGGAGCAGGAGCAGGAGCAGGAGCAGGAGCAGGAGCAGGAGCAGGAGCAGGAGCACGAGCAGGAGCAGGAGCAGGAGCAGGAGGGGAAGCGGGAGCGGGACAAAAAAGAGGAGGAGTAGAAGAAGGAAGAGAAGAAGTCAGAGTTCGAGGTCAATGTCGCTTCTTGACAATCAAAGTGATACACAACTCAGTCAATACAAGGTGATGTCAGTATCAGTACAGTGACGATGTTCATGGCAGGGCAAAACGGGAGGAGGGAGATGATGGGGAGAAGTACGAGCAAGGGGAACAAACCTGCGCTAGTGTCCATTCCGACGCGCACGTCATCCCAACAATGTGCCCCAGTGTAGCATAAGTCTGCAGGATTTTGCAAGTCACACGCAGAGAACGTAACATCTGGGACTTGACAAAATCATGAAAGCACTCTCAAACTCTCGAGTGGAAGTCGGGTAAGCTTACAACACCTGGATCTCAGATCTGGTCTCAAACCTCGGGCCGCAAGTCTGGACGTAAGAGAGCTGCAGGTGCGAAGTCAATCTACTGACACCATTCAGTCGGAACTTGCAACCTTCACGTCAACTCCAACTTCGCAACCAAACACCGACGGCCAGTTCTTCTCCTCTTGTCCCTCAGCCTTTTTTCGTTGAGCAGTCAGTCTTTGAGGACAAGAGACACGTTTCTGATCCTCTCCCGAGCTCACACACCATCTTGATCTTTCCTTGATGCTCTTTCAGAACAGGAGCGAGAACCTGTCCGCAAAGTTCATGTCATGCCATGGTCAAGGTTGAAAATCGCCACCTTCTGAACCCACGAACGCATGTTGACCCAATCGCTGTCATCCTGATGGGGGCTCAGCATCATCCTTGTGTCCTTGAGAGATGCATCGCGTCTCGTATGCTCAAAGTCATCACACCTTGGAGGCCGGAGCGAAATGAATCTTTCCTTCTTCAACCCCCGATGGCTGCAGCAGAAAGTCGTCAGAGGCAGCTACGGTTGATCGCAAGCACCTGGAATGTGCCCATGGGAATCTTTCCCCAGAAGGTGACGGGAGCTGAAAACGAGACATCAACGACTCTCTGTCAGGAGGGAGATGCTCTCTTGCCAGGAAGGACAAACGCGTAATCGTCAGGCATGACGATGGAGCCAACGGGGACCTGCTGATGTTCACGAGGGGAGCAGGACGGAAGCAGGCATGGCACCGTCTTGGGACGGAGGGACCCAGTCGACCCGATGGCACAGACACCTTTGACCTGCACAGAGTCCGTCTTTCTCCAGACAAGATACACGTAGAGAATAGGGAGCATCGCGTACGTTCAGCTTCTTGAGCCCGTAGAGAATGACATGGAAGTCGACGACGTGCGGGGGGGCGTATGTCGCCTTCCCCGACTGAGCAGCACGTTAGGAGCGCTCCTTGCAACCTTCCACGTACCTCATCCCAGCTCGTGCAGAGATGACGATTGACAAACAGAACTCTCTTCTCCTGGTCCAAAAAGGAGATGTTGACCAACTGCGGGAGCAAAGCCCGTCATGGCCGAGGCAGCTCCAGGTTTCATCTCACCCATCCCAGAGAGGTCTTGAAGGAGAACCTCTCCTCTCCTGCAACTGTCACTCCAGACCCTCCGATCACTGGTAGGACAAGTCTCCCTCAGCAACGTCAACTCGAGGCTCGTGAGTGACCTGCATACTTGGGCTTCGACACGAGATCGTCGGGGAGAGGAGGATACGCAGGCGTTTGCATCGCTGATCACATGTAACATTAGGGTGATGTGGGATGTCCCTTCCCCACAACCGCTCCTCCTCCGCGTCCTCGTCCTTGCACCTTCTTGCCTTTGCTTCCTTTCGCTCCTCCTCTTCCCCCTCGTTCCAATCGCCGCCTCCTCCTGACCCGCATCTCCTTCCGCCTCGTACTGCACTACCTTCCAACATCATGGCATGCAGAGATACAGCTCCTCTCCTCGGCCTCCTCTAGCTTTGCTCTGCTGCTTGTGTTCCCTTGCCTCCCAACAAAGCATCCTGCTGCTCTCGGCCTCGGATCCCTTTGCCCTCATCCCCGCTTCGACCACACCGTGAGGTTTGCCTTCCACGCACTGCTTCCACGCAGCAGTCCACGCAGCTTCCAGGTTGCCTCCTGGTTTGCCTTCCACTGTTTGCCTTCATCCCCGCCGCTTCGACCACACAGTGAGCTAAAGAGCTACTCAGTACCTTTGAAAGAGCTGGCAGCTGAAGAGCACTGTAAAGAGACAGGTTCAACGCAGGTTCAACGCCGCTGGTTCAACGCCGTCAACACTCGGACTGGGATGACTAACGCCTGCCAGCGCGCTGGGCCGGCGGCCGGTCCCGGCTCCGACGCGGCCAGCAGGAAACTTGCCGCAAGTTGACTCAGTGAAATCAACAGTTTATATACAGCCAGCACACCGCTTCAAACCCATGACTCATGATTCCTAAGTTTGACCCCTACCTGCTTTCTACCGTACTTTATTGAGTAGGGCCCAACTGTCCGCCCTCCCTCCCCTTCATTATTTGTTCAAAGGAGTTGAGTCTATGTCTCAGCATCAGCAGAGAGTTGCTGGCTGCAAGGCTTTCTAGCCTGATCCTCGCCGCCTGCTGCCATAGCGCTGTAGCACATGGACCCCCTGCTAGTCCTCCTTGCAGGCTTGTAGGCAGCAGCGAAGTTGCTGGCATCCTCGTCATCAAAGGTCTCAACCCCTCAATCTTGATTGCAGGCTTTATCTGCGCATTTGGCTCTTCCCATCCAGGCCTGGTCTGCTCGTCGACGCAAGGGTTCGAGCGCTTGTTTGCATGAGTAGGTAGAGGGTAACACGTGTTGTGGACTTGTGTCTGGGCCTGAGTCAAGGCCTCCAAAGACTTGCAGACAAGCATCTGAAAAGAAGAGAGGTTCGGAGGGGAAACGGATGAATTCTCCCGAGTATCGTGTTGCTGTGATGGCTGTGAGCAACCATCCTTCGATATTGAACAATTGGAGTCTTCGCTGCCCATCGAGAATGTCGTAGACGGGGACGACGAAGACGAAGCCAGGTCAAGAGGTGAAGACGAGCTCGAGCCTTTCTTGGTCTTCAACTTGTTCTTTGAAGAGACGGATGCGAGAACTTCGTTGACGTTCTTCTTTATGTCCGTCTGAGCCCTTGATCGAGGCTTCCTTGGTTTAGAGTCAGTCCTACCTAGAGGCCGCCCAGGAGGACGCTTGTTACTCTTCTCGTACTGCTCCACCTCCGCCGGTGTCCACAACGGCATAGTAGCCTTTACCCAAGTTCGACGATCCCAGACATCTCGAACGGACTTAGGACTAACTCCATGCTGGGCGGCCACCAGGGAGCTGTGAGCCGATTTTTGCTTCGAACTAAAGGAGATCTTTCTCTTTGCAAAGATCTCCACAGCGATTTCTTCGGATATGACGGCTCTTTTGTCTTTCTGTCTTGAGTCGCCTCCTGATGCTTGCATCGTCTCTTCCATCCTTGCTCGTGGTCACCAGTTACCTCAACTTTTTCTTCCCCTTCCCTCCTCTTGCCAGGCACTCCGCAGCACCAAATTTACGTTTGGTGGGGATATATTTTCCCCACCACCCTACTCCCTCCGTCTCCGCACAAGTCCAAGAAGGTTTTCTGACATCACCCCACCCCTCAACTGCCACTACCCCCAAACACATCCTCCCGATGAAAACACTCCTTCTCGAAACTATTCATCTTGAGGCCGACCGACGAGAAGAGAAAAGACAGCGAGAGCCAACCCTTATACTGCCCACTGCTGTCCTCCAAACTTAACTGATACCTTCACTTAACTGCGCGAAGGACCATTCCCCCGCGCCATGCCAGCGATGTCGCTGTGGCCGCCGCCGAAGGAATGAGACGCATACCGGAACGCACCCGCGATGATGGCAGCGAAGGACAGGGAGGCCTTGAGCTGATGAAAGATCCTGGACCGGATGCGTTTGCAAGTCGGATCACCTGAGACGTCTTGCGAGGCCGAGAGACCATCCAGCGCTGCCGTTTCGTTCATCCAATTGCATGGGTTGTTCGCTGGGATGGGCTGGTCCATGGTATATGAAAAGCTCACGACGATGGGAATAGATGTGAAGGCAATGTTGATGGACATGCTTCAGGTCCGCGTAGAAAGATATGCCCATACCAACAATCAAGATTTCGAACACGAGGATGTTGTGTATAAGCAGAGACCTTTAGTGGGGGTTGAGTCCAGGATCTCTTCCTCAAGCACATCTTTTGTGGATAGTACAGGTAACCTCTTGGTTAGGTCCAGATTCGGTGTATCTAATGGATGCGGCGTTTCAGCCGTCGGTCAACTCTGTCAGCGACGACGTGGACATATTGCAGCAGCGGATCCAGCTGTACTTGCGAAGCGACGGCCCGTACAACGTGCAAGAGTGTCTGGAGTACAAGAGGCTCATGCTCGCGATTATCAAGCATCGTCGACAGGGTACAGACCCACCCGACCGATGCTTTCTGGACAACCTTGGGTTGATCGTACAAGAAGGAACAAGCTACACGCTCTATGTGCAGGCACCAATCATCGAAAAGCACGAAACTAAACGTCATTTGTATGACGATTCAGATACAAATAAAAGAGATATCTTACTGTCGGGCATGATCTGTGCAAAGGTGGTATGTGCAGCAAGTTTGATTTTGTCGGTTCTGTGTCCATACAGCTTCAGCAGAATAAACGGGCATTCAAGGCATCCAGCAAGGCCGTCTTTTGGGCGGGCCCTTGCTCGTTGGTGTGCGACAAGCCCGCGAATGATGCATTTGTTTTCAAGGGAAAGGTAAGTGACGTCTGTCTGCAGGACGTTCAGATCATGAAAGTTATGCGCTTTGCCACGCCTCCGTCGGAGATCAAGAATAAGCAGGAGGTTGGGGATGTGATTAAGGATATCCATGTCGGCACTGTTTCACTTGCCACTGCGACATGGCATTCCGACGGTTCGGCTTCACTGACTCCGGGCGGACTCGGAGTCACTCACTGTTCAACCGTTAAGTGAAGGTATCAGTTAAGTTTTCGCCGTTCAAGTGAAGGTATCAGTTAAGTTTGGGGGACAGCAGTCGGCAGGAATAGGTTTGGTTCTCGCTGTCTTTTCTCTCCTCGCCGTTTGGCCTGACTGACACTGAAGATCATAACTCTCGGCTGAGGCCGCCGTATTCGGCCCGGCCCGAGCGCGAGTCCCGGGAGTCCGATTGCCATCACACTGCCACTGATCCCGAACTTCCGAGAGTCAAAACCCGGGCACTTGCGTTGAACTTGAACTTCAATGAGGGCACTGCGGCAATGCCTACAGTGGCTGTGTCGGAGCTCGGCACTGCCACCGTCGAGTCACACGGCACTGCACGGGCCGGGCCCCGCACTCAGTGCGGCACTCACCGTTCAGCCGGTAAAGGCGGCGGGGCCGACTCGGAAGCATAGTTTTAAACTTCATATCGGAACATCGAAAAGGCTTTTCTTTCAAGTCAAATACTTGAAATTTGAGGGCCAAATTTCGAGATGAAACCTTGTGGTCTGGGATGAGTTTTTGCTTTTGGCAATAAATCCTCCCTGACTACCATGTGCTGTCTACCCTGGGTTTCACCACCCCACCTAGTACTGAAATTTCAAGCGTACCGACATGGGACTTTGATCCTCTTCTTTCGGTAAAAAGTACCCCCCCTTACATGATTAGCACGTCATGACCCCTTTCTTTTGATCACCCTACCCTATGAATCCTTCGTGGATGAACAAATCCTCCCCAACTACCCTCTGCGCCTTTTTTTCTCATGAGGTTGAGGGATATGGTTGTTTCCTTTGGCCTTCAACCTACTCATAATCATATGATCTTCTTATAGGAAAATACCATATAGTCTTACCCTCACCCCATGGTCCCTGAAAAGATTCGTATCAATCACCTACCACCCCACCTACACCCTCGGAGAGGAGAATCCCACGGAAACGTTGCGATTTTACTTTCCCTGAGAGTTTTCCCACTGAAAAAAAATGTTTTAGAGAATACACCCACCCTCATCCAGAACTCACACAGAAAATTAGGGGGTGGAGGTGGTATCGCGGAACCTTTTGGAGGATGTATCGATGTGAAAACGTGGGTACTCATAAACAGTGGTAGGGCAGTGGTAGGGGTAGCTATTTGGACGAGGGGGATGAGGTATGCTTGACCGGGATGAACAAATGAACAAATGTGTGCCCGAAGAGGATGAGAAGATGAGAAGAGGAAGAAGGCAGGAAGAGTGAGAAAACAAAAATCGAACAAGACTATGTCAAATTCTAGTATGGCGGAGGAGACCGAGAAGGCGGAGAACAAGGACAAGAGGGCTGTGATCTCGGAAGAGATCGCTGTGGAGATCTTTGCAAAGAGAAAGATGAACACGAAATTTAAGACCGCAGACAGCTGCTTGGTGGCAAACGAGTATGGTGTTAGCTCAAAGTCCGTCCGAGATGTCTGGGATCGTCGAACTTGGGTAAAGGCTACTATGCCGTTGTGGACACCGGCGGAGGTGGAGCAGTACGAGAAGAGTAACAAGCGTCCTCCTGGACGACCGTTGGGAGTGACCGACTCCAAGCCAAGGAAACGACGATGTCACTCACACAAATCTGATCAGACTCTCCGGAAAAAGGTTGCTGAGTCAAGACGTCAACAACCCAACGATGCGTCGTCGTCGTCGTCGTCGTCATCATCGACCTGTTACTTCAACTCATCGTCATGTTCGTCGTCATCATCTGAAGCTGGGTCGTCGACAGTAGACAACCAACATGCAGCACTTGGTCTGCCCATCGAAGAAGCCAAGTCTAGGATTTTAGCTGCTCAGCCATTCGTCCATCAACGTCCAGATGCCCAGATTGTTGGCTTGGAGGCTCTGCGGAATCTTCAGCCACCGACAGGAATTGAGATGCTCTTGGCTGGCAATCAAGCATGGAATCCCCCGCTGCTCCAAAGCCAACCTTTTCTCTTGTTGCAGCCTGCAACGAGCAGGCCAATACTTCCCCTGCAAACACACACTATACTGCCATCTAGCACACTGAACACGGGAATTCCTTTCGATCAGCCTGCGCTATGGCCAGGGATTGTCAACATTGGCATTGCTCAAAGAATATCAGCCACCAACACTCTCCTTATGCTCAACCAGGCATGCATCTCTTCGACTCAGAACAAGCCGGAAAGTCAACTGAAGGATGGAGGAAGGTGACGAACAGGTTCGATCGAAGGTTTCCAATCAGTCTTCTACCTGGACAAGCAAGAAAGTTTTACCATGTATGATAGGATACACAAGATGCATCATAAGGCCAAGAACTTGGATGATTCTTGGCCCCCACGAAAAAGATTCGCTGTGCAAATTTACCGCTGTGTGTTTTTCTTTCCCAGCTCAATTTAATCCTTTCTGCGAGCTAATAGCAGCTTGCCAGTAATAACAAACGCACATAAAAAGTTTCCTACATTGCTGAATAGAATTCATAAGATTACCTTGTATCTCACTTGGCAACCTGTTCAGGACGTGAGCTCCAATGATGTTTGTGTATCAACCGTGACTAGCTTCGGCGATAGCGGCATGCGGCAGAGTCGGCTGAGACCCCACATACCATACTGACTTGGAAAAGAGAGAACTAAGATCGAAAACATTTTCTCTCTGTCTCATCCTCCAGTGTTGAAAGCGGCCCTCTGTGACACGCGGGGGCCAGAGTACCGTACCGTTAACTAAGTTGAGTCCCGGCCGCTTCGGCCAGGCCTCACCGACTGAGCGGCCCGGCGGACCCGGCGGACTCGGCCCGGGGGCGCGGGGCCCGGCGGACTCGGCCCGAGGGCGCGGGGCCCGGCGGACTCGGCCCGGCCCGTATCCGATCATGACCGTACGGCGGGGCGGCGCCCGGCCGCCGCGGCCGGCCCCGGCCGGCCGGCCCGGCAGTGGGCCGCCGGGACTGGAACGCCGCCGAGACGATCCGGCCGCGGGGCCCGGCGGCGGCGGCGTTCCGGTAGAAGCTGAGCGGGCCCCGGGCCAGGACCAACTTCGCGGCCAGTCCGACGGCGCGGCGCGGCGGGCGGCCGCTGGCTGTCAGTGAGGGTGTAAGTAATTTTTAATAGTACTGAAATGATTAAAAAAACTGTGTTTGACAAGGAAGGTCAACTGCCGGGTTGGATGCCAACCATGGCACGGCAGGTGGCAAGGGCTAGCGACACAGGGAGGTGCTCCGAGCCGATGAGATGTTGTCTTGCCTCGTTGTCGATGTTCAGAAGAGTTTGAGTGAGAATCAGATGCAAGAGTAGCTACTGGAGCATTCTTGCTATTTCCACATGACCTGGTTTACGCTGGTGTGTCTTGTGCACATCTTACGGATCGCTAGCGTTCATGCGTTAGCTTCTCCACCGGCAAATTTGAATATATTGCGATCTTTCACGTATCCCTCGACCATGCAGCAGACAGCAGGCGGGGAATTTTACTATGACGCATCCGCTCTGCTGTTGAACTGGAGCTCAGTAGAGAATGCAAGTCAGTATAAGATCGTTGTTGTAGACGATGATCTCAATCGAGAGAAGGTCTATATGGTGCAGAAGAGTCCTTGCAGGGATGATGATGGATGGTATGCCAAGGACGGTGTTTTCTTTGATTGTGATTGGTACGGGGTAGACACAAACTGCTTCACGTATGGCACTCGCGTTAATGGCTCCAACATACCAGCACTACAGGCCTGTTGTGCATGCGGCGGAGGGATGGTGGAGGCAGGAGGAGGAGGAGCACCTCCAACCTCGTTAAAGCTCATGGGGCTGATTTCTGGTCGCAAGATACGTCTTAGCATTGCTTCCTTCTCAGAACTGTCCGGATGGAGCAGCGCAAGCACGTGGCTAGAGCTCCTACCCGTCCCTCCTCCCATTCTCTCCGTGGCTAACATTCGGTTCATCGAGTATAACGAGACGGCAGCTGTGCTCACTTGGGACCCCCCTGCTTATGGGCCTGCTCCTACTAATTTCTCTGTTGTCGTGAAGGAGTAAGTGGAATTCGCATCCTCCAAGTTGATACGTGACATGATTTCAACAGCTCCTCCTCGTCCGTGGTGTTCCAGACCCTGACAAGCCAACCACCAGTCGTCATCTTGTCTACCCTTATGGTAGATCAGACGTATCGAGTCGAAGTTGCTTCAAGGAACTCAGATCACGATCCGAAAAATCCTTTCTCAGCCTCTCCCGTTGGTTAGTCTTGCTGCTTGTGGTGGTTGAAGAGCCTGATAAGGTCCACAGGCATTGCAAACTTGAAGTTGTATCCTCCTCCTCCTCCAGTACAAGGCCTAGTCGTCATCAACGCTTCGAGCTCCAGTTTGACATTACGATGGGATGTAAGTTTCGTACTAGAGGGCTAATGTGCTTGATCCTGACATTGTTGTAAGTTGTTTCCTGATGATGCAAGCTTAGACAACAGCCTGAAAGGCAACGTCTTGTACAGAGTCCAGGTATTCAAATATTCTTATGTCTGGTTGCCCATGTTCATTTTGTTGTCCTGACAGGTGTCGGACATTGTGAATGGAGTTGAATTCTTTTATGTTACCGTCTTGGACAATATCTCACCGCCGTCGAATTGGAAGCAATCGAATGGTACCTTGCGAAGAATGAAATCCTGACGTCTAAGATTCACATCAGTCACGACAATGTCGGCGATTGTGGTCAATCTTGATCTCGGAAAAGTGATTCTTTTGATTTCTAGGAGAGATGTAAGGGGGAATGATAGAGATGCAGGAATATGCATTCCGTGTGTTTGCAAGGAACAGCGATTCTGCTGGTTATGTGTCTTCATCCTGTAAATCGATTGCTTGTCCGTGATCTCATTTCATCTGATGTGTTTTCATCAAGCTATTCGACAGTCACTTGATTTGCCTCCTCCCTCTCCTACTGTTTTCATCTCTTCTGTCACAACGCAATCGGTAATTGATCCCCTCCACCTCTTGTCTCTAATTGTCCTCAGGTCACTATCGCCTGGGAGAACGTGACGACAAGTTTCAAACTCGTTGCATTCCGAGTGGAGCAATGTTTAACCTTTTCTCCCCCACAGTGCAACCTTCTCACAGATCTCGTCTTCAACTTCTCCTATGTCGTTCAAGGTCTCATCGACCAGCACGTTGTCTCAGTCTCCCTCTTGCGACCTCCCCTCACGTCAATGACAGACTTATTTGTTTCGTGTCGCCGCCTGCGCGCCGATGCTGCGATGCGGGGATTTTCAGGTCTTCTTTCTCTTGGCCTTCAACACCTCCTGGCATTCCCTCCCTTACTCTGTTCGCTCGCTCTTACGGATCTCCTCAAGTTTAGCCTGCCTGCTCCTACTTTTCTTCTCCAATCCTCCCATCCTGTCTGGCACCTGGCCCCTGACTCCAGTTGTTTCCCCTCCGTTCCCTCCTCTTCATCTTCCTCATATTCCTCCCTTTATCGGCCCTCTTGATTTGATTCCCCCAGACTATTTCCGCAACTCCAACGAGCCCTCCTGACCTCCCGGCCGACACGACTGTATCCATCAGCGCGTCAGATCAAGACTCCTCCAGCATGGTTTACGTCAGTTGGAACGCCTTTCCGAGGGCTGACAGGAATGAGCTCAAGCATGCTGAGACTTCCATTGTGTGTGACGTGGCAGCAGATACTTTGTTGAGGTTAGAGCAGCGGGAGGGGAATGGATCAAGTCCCAGGCAACCCCCGGCTGCTCGGGGAGGTGGGAATGGACGACGTTGCCCCGCGATCTTTGCAGGTGTGGGAGGTATGAGAGACGGTGCGAAGGTGCTGACATGCGATGGAGGGATGTCTTCCTTACAACAAGTGCGTTGATCGCCGGATTGAACTCCTCGACGTCCTATTCGGCTCGAGTTCAGGTGGATCTTGTTCTGCTTGTTCCTGGATATGAGTTGCTGCACTTCAATTCCTCTGCCTTCACATTTCATGCCAATCGTTTTGCCATGATCGCTCAACGCCAATCACTGTGCATACATCTTTAGACGAACTTCTCAGTTCAATTTTTGACTCGCCCTGTTCTTCAGGGTGCAAACTTGGCCGGTCGAAGCTCGCAAGGTACTAACTCCTTCCCTCTGCCTGCTCGATGCATGGGGAGATGACCTTCTTTCAAGCGCTCCCCTCCAGCAGCGCTGCCAGCACATCCTACGTCGCTCCCATCACCTCCAAGGTGGACGCTTTCTATGTCATCGGGACAACAGAGACGAGGTGATAGCAGACATTTTGACTTCTCCCTCTCACTTCACCTTCTTGTCTCAGTGTGGAAGTTGCCTGGATCGGACTGTCTCTGCCGACAGGTCTCCTCTCCTCCTTGCATCCTCTTGCCTCCTCCTGCCGCATGTCTGATGTCTCCCTCTCTCTCTCAGTGGTGGCGTACCGCGTCCAAGTCGGAGCATCGTTCTTCTATCAGCAGCATCTGGGTCCTGGTGTCCAGCATCTTCTCAACATTACTTCGCTCCAACAAGGGACTCAGGCACTAAGACCCTCCATCCTTCAACCTGCCCTGCCTTTCGCTGCCCTGCAACCCCCGCCTCCCCACCCCTCTTTCCCCCTCGTCCTTCATTTCTCTGTTTCTCTCTGCTATTCTGTACTGTTGTGTACTCTATGCTCTGCTCTGTTCTGTTCTTTTCTGATTGGTATTCTCTTTTGTGCTCTTTGACTTGTGACCACCGTATCTGTAATGATACCACCTCTACTTCATTTGTATTTCTTCATCTTACAACCGTCGTTTCAGTATCAAATCTCGATCGTCGCAAGATCCCTCAGCCTTGATGGGTACAAAGCGGATCCAAACACCATCACCGCTACTCCTACTGGACCCCCAAAGGGACAAGTTACAAACTTGCACGTCACTTCTCTCACTCTGTCGAGTTGTCTTCTGTCGTGGACGTACCCTCAAGACGATGTGACGAGGTACAAGTGAACAAGATCGTCGATGATGGTGCCGCCTTCGTAGTTCCTCTTCACTTATACTTCATTCGTCAGGTTTCTTATTCAATGGACTTATCTCTCGAGCTCGAGCTCGATTGCCGTTTGGAACAACTCAATTGAGGTTCAAGCGCAAGATGCTTGTAAGGCTGCCTTGATGTCAACATTGCCTTGTTAATTGACTGCCAGTGTCTTCGTCGCATGCGTATGAGTACAACATCAGCAACCTGCACTTTGGCGGGGTAAGCATACTCTTCTTGAATTTCTCTTCTCTCTCCTCTTTTACTCTTCTCTCCTCTGCTTTTTGATTCCTTGCAGTCGTTTCACCTTATTCATTTCACATGTGTCCCTGTCTCATGTCAATTCAGTTGTTCTCGTTTCGTCTCCGCATCGGAAACCTTCACATTAGCAACTTTGATCTCAGCCCCACCTTTCTCCTGCAGTCCATACAGCTCGTCCCTTCCCCTTCCCCTGTCTCCGACCTCTCTGTCCTCTCCCTCGGCTCGGACTCCGTCATCCTTGCATGGTCGGATCCCCCATCGTCAATCGTCACTTCCTATCAGGTGCAGTCAGTCAACAGGAAGCGAACTATCGCTAAGTCTCGACGCAGATCAAGTACAAAGTTGGGTTGTTGAATTACGGTACCTACGGAATACCTGAGACTCCGGCGAATCACTTGGGAAAGAATCTGATGACGGTGTACAACTTGGATCGAGGGCTCTTGTACTCCTTCAAGGTAACTTGCTCTAGATCTTGTCTTGGTGCTGCTGCTGCTGCTGCTGCTGCTGCCCTCCTCATCCTGATCTGCCTTGCTGCTCTTGCTCCTATTCTTGTTTCCCTTTGGTCTGAGTGCTCTGCCATCAGGTGTATGCCCGGAATCTAAACCAACAGGGATACGAGCAACAAGGAAGCAACGTAGTCGACGCCATGCCGCAGATGCAGCCTTCCTCCGTCTTGGATCTTCACATCGTCGGTGATGTTTTGACCTGCTGCATCGCATGCTTTTCCTCATCTCCACTAGGGGTGACCGAGACATCTGTCAATGTCGCATGGAGTGTCAACGCGTTTCCCCCAACGAGGGACTACAAGGTCAACCTCAAGGTCTTGGAGCGCCGGACTGTTGACACTTTCACTCAGGTGGCATGGTGGGCGTCGGGGCTTTTCAATGTTGGGCAGCAGGAGCAGACGTCGACGACGGCTCTTTCCTACAATGTCACGAGCTTGATCAGTCAGTCGAAAGTGCTTGTATCTGTGACAGCACAGAACTGGAACAGGTGGGTTGGTAAAGAGGAATGGTTTTTCGATGTACTAACAGGATGATATTCAAGTCTTGGAGAAGGATCACCGCAGTTCATCCTCGTTGAGCCCTCTCCTCCTCCCGACTCTGTGTCCTCACTCGAGGTGGTTTCGGTCACAACCACCTCCGTCTTGCTCAAGGTTCGCACTTCTCTCCTTCACGCCGGAGCATGCTTGACTGAGCTCCAGGTCAACGTGTCGGAGTTGTCGTTGGCAACAAAGATGAAGGTCATGTACAAGAGAGCCGATGCGGTAGACTGGAGTTCTTTCAAGTGAGCTGTCGAAGTTGCCCCGGGTGTCTTCGCACTGAAAGTTCCCACAGCGAATTTCAGTGTCGGCACCTCCCGTCCGATGCCAACGCCTGTCCTGATCAGTTTGATGTGACTGGGCTTTCTCAGGTCCTGCTACATCGAACATACATCTGATGTTTCCTGACTCGCTGCTCGCAGAATCTTGTGTATGACTTCAAAGTTGCTTTGAGGAACGATCACGTATCAGGCTATCAGGATCTTGGCAAGGTGATCCAAACTGAACATCTCAAATCATACGTTGAAATCCTCTCAAGGTTGTCAGTGCTGCTCCTGTCGACTATCCAAGTCTGCCAGTCTACAACTTGCAGGTTGTATCCGTCACGACCACACAAGTTCTCATCTCCTACTCCATCCCCTCGGGTCTCGACGCGCCGTTTGCCTTCAGGGCCCGGATCACTTCCGAAGGCTCTTCGTACCTTAACGAGACCAACCAGTTTTCAGGAACGTCGTTGCTCATAACTGGCCTCTCACTGAACAACAAGTACAATGTTGCAATCTTCGGCAGGAATCTTAACGTCAAGGGTTTCAATCTCAATGTACAGTCTCAGGCGTTCACCATAGAGCCCTTGCAGACGGCGTCCAGCCCGCTATCTCTCAGTGTCGTCAGTGTCAGAACAGACGCCGTTAGCTTGTCATGGAGTCCCCCGTCGTACGGTCTTCCCGTCCTCTCCTACACGGTTGAGGTGGCAGAGTTCACACAGACCCTTCCCATCTTTCGTGTTGCTGGCTCCACAAGCCTGACAAACTTCACTGTCAGCAACCCTTCTCTCAACGCTGGTGAGATTCAGCTAGTTCAGGGCCTCAAGTACTTGTTCCGTGTTAGAGCAAGGAATCTCAACCCTACGGGCCTCGGCGATTTTGCCGAGTGTGAAGGGACACCCCTGGACTCTCCCAACGTCGTCATTCCTGACTTTCGAGCTGAGAACGTTACAGCTGGGTACGCTCGTCTAAGTTGGAACCTGCCCGGCAACGTCACTATATCTCAGTTCCGTGTCAGCGTTTGCCTTGCAGCTGACTACTGTGCTGGGGGCTCCTACCTCCCCGGCTCCTCCTGCTCTGCAAACTGCATCTGCAGTGGGCCAACGCCAGTCTGTGCTGATGGCACCGCAAGCACGTGCCAGTGCTTGCCCCCCAACTCAGATGCTCCTTGCTCCTTCGACGGTCAGTGCACAGGAGGAGGAGTCTGTACCGAAGTTTGCGGCTGCTCTCAGTGCACCGCAGACTACCGTCCTCCTCGTCCCAACTCGGCGCAGAAGTTCTATGACGTCTTCGGTAGAGAGTTCATCTACGACGGATCGTCTTGGGTAGCGACGGGCAGGACTAATTGGAACGTGCTGGAGGAGGTGCCGGCCTGGGTTAATCAGATCGAAATAACCAACGTCAATGTCGTCAAGACAAATTCAACTTCGCGTGTAGAACTTAACACGCCACTGGAACTGAGCAGCCGGTACAGCTTCGGGATAGAGGCAATGAATCAGAACGTCAACGGATATGGCCTGCGAACCATCATCCGCAACGTCATCCCTGTGTTGAGACCAGGAGCCCCGACCCAGATCTCGTTCCAACCTCCGACATCCTCGTCAGTCACCATAGCATGGAATGCACAAGAACCAACTTCCGTGTTTGGTCTCTCAACATTTTTTCTTGTTATGATCATTGATACGAGGAGAAACAACATCACCGTGGGCCCAACAGTGAACTTACAGTCTATCACCATCTCCAACCTGCTCCAAGGAACCACATACACATTCCAAGTCTTCGCTGGCAACCTGGCTGGGTATTCCCTCCAGCCCGCGAGGACAAACGTCACTGTCACTACATCTTGCGAGGCAACCAACATCGGAGTGTCACGGGTCGACACGTCTAAGGGAGTTCTGAACCCCAGCACTACCATCTACTGGGACCCCCTCCCGTATCCCGACGAAGTCAAGTTTACGTTGAAGCTAACTCAAGACTCTGTGCTGCTGAAGACTGTCTCTGATATCCAAGGGAACTCCCTGAATGTTTCGTTTGCTGTTACGCCAGCTACTAACCTTGTGAACATTCAACTTGACTGCATCGTCATCAGAATCGCTGCCTCGTCGACACCTACTCCAGCGAACAAGATCATGCAGGTGGTTGGAATACCAAGTATGGAAGATATACAGCTGCGGCTGCTCTCTCGAAACAACAACTCAGTGATTGTGGTTTGGTACACTCTCAAGAATCCCATAGAGATTGTTCTGAGGAACACGTTCTATCTTCTTGAAGCTTCGTTTGATGACTTTCAAGACGGTGGGAAGCGAAACACCGAGATCATCGGTGAATTCAATCACGACACGTACAAGTTCGGATGTGCAGACTCAGGTCAAACTTTTTGTATCTCTGCTTTCATTGGAAACCTGCCGGAAGGGCAATATATCAGCTGCCGTGTCAAAATCCGTAACGCGAACATTGCGGGATACTCGATCCCCTCGAACTATCTTTCCACAGCAGCCTTCCGTCAGATTGGCCCGGCCACTTCACTCCGGATAGACAACGTCACGTTCAGCTCCGTTGCTCTGGCATGGCAGAGGCCAGCGGGAGACGTTGGGCAGACCATCTACTCGTACATCATAACATGGCAGCCTGACGGTAGGACACAAAACAACGGCAACCCTCTGACAATCGGAGCAAACGAAATCAACATTGAAGGCACCGGAGCCTGCGCACAAGGAAACTGTTGGTACAACATCACCGGGCTTCAGCTTGGAAAAGTTTACACATTCCTCATACAAGCCTACAACCAATATGAGAGCGGGTACGAGGAAGGCACAGTGACGGTGGGAGGGCCAGTCTCTCTTCCTTCAACTCCGAGAAACTTGTTTGTAGTGTCTGTCGGTGAAGATAGAGTCACACTGCAATGGAATCTTGACGTCGACCCCTACCAGGTCGTGTATGCCAACGCCACGAAGTTTCAGATTCGCTGCAGGCTGCAGAAAGGGTACAGGAGCTCGTCAACGGCCCAGTACTGCCGGAGTGAATCTCAATTTGACAACCTCGGACCCCCGGCGCTGGCGGAGGAGATCAAGTTTGGAGTCCAGACCCCTTCCTTGTACGTCTTCCGAGCGAGCTTCCACGGGCTGGACTACCAGGTGGGCTATCAGTTTCAAGTCTGCAGTATCGGGCTCAACATATTCTCCTTCGGGGGCAAGTGCAGCCCCTTTATAGAGGCCATCACAGCAAGCAAGCCTCAGAACGCGACGCTGAACTTGAGCTCAGTAACTGCGAGCTCAGCATCAGTCTACTGGAGCCATGCAAGGAACAACGACTCGGGCTGGAACTTCATGCAGGGCTACGACTACAACGAGATCAGCCTCGCTTGCTTCCAAGGGATTAACGTCGACGGGCTCAAGATCCTCTGCGACTCTATTAGCACCTGCTCCGGCTTCAACACCGACGGCTGCTTGAAATCAGCCATTCTTGATCCCTGGACAGCCATGGACTTCTCTCTCGTGACTTCAAAGTGGGTGCTGATGGAACCAGGTCATCTCCTCTACTCCAACGGGACCTGCTGCTCTCAGATTGACTTTGCCGTTGGCTGTACACGAGCCGATATTGACTTGAGTCCTCCGGCCGCGTGTGGGTGTCAGTGCCGGGGGTTCTGGTACAAGACGACCATGTACAGGCTGAGCCAGCGATCCAACTCCTCAGAGTCTTTCATGAACATCCCTGACACGTACGGGACTGCTTCCACTGAGTTCCAAGTTATGGGATTGGAGATGAACCGAGTGTATGAGATGAAGGTTTTTGCTCGAGGGCTCAACGACATGGGCTATGAGGTCAGCGGCAGCAACACGCTCATTCTCTCGCTCGCCGACCCTCCTACCTTCAAGGCTCTGGTCACTGTGCTGTACATGCAGAGCGAATCTTTCACCACAGGGAGGGTCACCGTGCAGTGGTACGGCAGCTCGCAGCAGAATGTAACCCAGTATCTCCTACAGATGTCGCAGGATAACTTTGCTTCTCTCATCGATTCCTCTTCTCACCTTGACAAGACTGTAGTGAACAACCTTGGCGTCAACACCGTTACTATCACGCAGCTGGTCAAAGGGGTCGATTACTTCTTTCGGGTTGTCCCCCGCAACTGGAACGAGGTTGGATTCGTGTATTCCCTGGCATCAGATCCAGTCCTTGTTCGCTACTCGGATGCTCCTCCTGCTCCTATCAACCTGGACGTCTCCGGCATCAGCATCTGCCAATCAGCTTCTTGTGGATGCGACTGCTGTCAATCTTTGATCTGCTCTGGAGTAGCTGACGTGGTTCTAAGTTGGAGCATGGCCTCAGGCCCTGTAACGGACTACATGATTGTAGTGGAGAGGCATGCGCAGGCTGCGGTGTCGTATCAGAAAACTTCCTACGAGCTTGCGGTCAGTTCTCTTGCTGTCAAGTACACACTGCCAAAGATGTACCTGGGAGTACAGCACACTGTCTCAGTCCTTGCCAAGAATCTGAATGTCGCAGGGTACGTCACAAACAGCTCCTTCGTCTTCACTCCCTCCGATGAGCCCAAGGTCTCAGTGCAGTCCACTTTGACTTGGCAGTGCGTTTCTCCGAGCTCGGTCACGTTGCAATGGCGGCCAATATCATCCGAAGCTGTCACCTTGTATAAGGTTGACTATGACATCTCTCCGGAGTTTCCCAACTTGGGGCCTGGCACGTACTTTGGTGAGTTTCAACCGTCCGGGACGAGTCAAATGCAGGTGGAGGTTGTAAGACTTGATCCTACTAAGGTGTACTACTTCCTGGTCACCGCAAGAAGCTTGTACGATGGGGCACAGACCAGCTTTGTGAGCGGGTACCGAAACTGTACCTTTGCAGTGAGTGACTTGCGAGTCACTGAGTTGTCTCCGACGACTTTCAAGCTCCAATGGCTGGACCCCCCTGGCATCTCTGAGATCAGCAGATATCGAGTATGGATGGCAAGCGCTTCGTCCCCTCAGTTTGTCCAGTTTGCTGAAGTTCAGAGCCAAGAGAACACACAGCACACCTTCTATGCTGAGAGCTTGTCTGCTGCCAACTCCCCTCACCGCTTCATTGTAACTCCCCTTCTTGATCACTGTGCTGTGCTAGGGCCTGTCTATCCTTCCTGCACGTCCACAAACAGCGTTGGCTTACAAGCGTCCAGGGTTAGCACGGACTCAGTCACTTTGCAATGGATGCTACCTGGTTGTCCTGGGGAGTGTATGCAAGTTGTCAACTTTCAGTTCGAAGTCTTCCTGTGCAACCAGAGCTCTGTTCCAACTCCCGCTTCTCCGGTCTGCAGTGTCCCAGTATCAAGTCAAGTAGTGAGCGCAGACAATGTTTGTGCCTTCGAATCTTTCTACTCGAACAACACTTTGAACACCTCTTACGGAGGTTGTAGCTGGGTCCTACATGGCCTGTCGATCAATCAGGCCTACAACGTCAGAGTTTCTCTTCAATTTCAAGACTCGAACGCGTTTGCAGCGAGTGACACTGTTTTCATCATGACGAAGAATCTGCCAAGGACGCGAGCCACCGCGCCGGTTCTGGTCTCAACACGTAATGTTCCTTACGATACTCATGGAGCAAACGTAAGTCTGTCATGGCAGTACGAGAATGCAACCTTGGCACAACAAGACTCAGTCTCTCTGTACAAGGTTGCCTTTTGGGCTACTTCTGAAGAACAATGTTTCGAGCAGTTGAAAGCAAGCTGTTTGTCTTACAACGAGACGATACTGTCATCTCTCCAGCAGCCTGTCGCAGGTCTGCGCCCCTGCACGCAGTACACTTTCCAAGTGTTCCTTGGAAACTCAAACGGGTTTGAACCAACAGGGTCTCCTCTATCTCACCCTATCACAACCTCTTGTACTCCTGGCGAAGTCAAGGCTCTTGAAGTGATAGAGTACCAGAACGCCTCAGCTCTGCTTTCCTGGCAGCCTCCGGAGGTACCAACAGCATTCTTCTTTATCGTCAAGTCCTCCAACTTGAAATGCCTGCACAAGGGCTACAACGACAACATCTGCTCAAGCACGATCGAGGTCAAGTGTATGCCCGGACGTTGTCGGCCCGTCTGTTTGAACAACGTGGGATGCTCGTTGAACGGCACGGGGATGCTAAACTCATCAGTCTCCTCCCTCGTCTCGTGTCAGTTTGATATCGATTGTCCGACCAACTATCAGTGCATCCGAGAATGCCCGAGCTCGACCCTCTTGCCTAACCTGGAGATGAATTCAAGTTATCAGGTCGTTGTCACTTCCAAGACTGTTGACTCCAGCATCGGCCCATTCTGTTTTCTCAATCAGACCTGCTCGGCTCAGTTCAGAAGAAGTCAGTTAACGTTTGAATATGCACCTCCCCCCCTTCCTCCTCGAAACTTACGGGTGGTGGACATTTCGTCAGCCTACCTCGTCATAAGCTTCGATCCTCCTCCTTCAGCCAGCATGCCAGTCACTTCCTATCAGCTCTCAGCGAGAGCAAAGGGTTCTTCAGCATGGAACGTGACGGACGCAAACGGGAGAATAGGCTCCATTTCGCTCCTTGTCGAGAAGCGAGGACAGGGTTGTCTGCGAGGAGGGACGTTGGCCGTCTCAGGCGGCGATGGCGGAGGGTTCGAGGCAACGTTCGAGGTGTACGGTGGGAGCATATCAAGGGTGGAGTACCTTTCAAAGGGACAAGGGTACACAACAGTACAAGGGGCATCGGTCTACATCTCGTCAGGTGGGGAGCAATGTGTTGACTTTCAGGTCAAGGCAATTCTGGATGCAACGATGATACCGGGCTCGATGCGGACCGTGCTCGTCTCTCAGGTGGGATGGCGATCATTGTCGGTAGCAAGGCAAACTGTGGAAGAGTACGATTTCTTGCTGCAGTCAGTCTCTTCTGCTGGAACGTCTGCCCCAGTGACATTACAGGGAGTGAAACTCTATCCAACACCTCCATCAATCTCTTCGATGACTATCTATCAAGTAACCCAGGATTCCTTTGCCCTGAATTTCACTGTCGTCAATTCGCCTTTGCAGTCGCAAGATCAACTTTTGTTCAAGGTCTCGATGTCGGAAAACATGGGAGAGACATATTATGATCTGCAAGGAAGTCCGTACAGAATACAGTCGCAAAATGATGCAGTATCGAACATTGTGATCGACTCGATGCCCACTAGTTATGGTGCAACAACGAAACTCAAGTCCTTTATCACCTATACCGTCAGAGTCTGTCCCATGTACAATTATGTTCCTTTCAAGATCCAGTTTCAAAGTGATCTCTGTGCAACCAAAATTGTACATCTTGCTTACAAATCTGCGCCTGTCAGCAACATCCAAGTCTACTTTGCTGATCAAGACAAGGTCCTTGTCAAGTGGAACGGTCCATATCCCAAACATGGAGAGAGTTTTGTGTATGCGATTCAAGTAGGAGTGGACAAGTTGGTGGATAACGCATTTGCTTCACCTCTTTTCTTCAGTCTTGGAACGTCATGGACGGACTTGTCAAACACTACAACAATCTTCACATTTGAAGATGTTTGCTCAGCCCTGCAGCACAAGATTGACTGTGCCACTATCTACACATCTGTTAGCTTCGTTCGTGTTCTGTTCAAAGACTTGCGATGGGCGTCTTACACAGGACAAGATGTGCAATATCACACTTTCCGGTTTAGTGGAGCATCAACACCTCTTGGCAACCTTGCAGTCAAACAAATCACAGAAAGCTCCGTTGAGATCAGTTGGAACAATCTGAATTATCCAAACTTTTCCAACTTCGTCGTCTTCTACAAGACTTCGCCGATCCAATGCTTTCAGAATGCCATCAGCGTCAACGGACGAGTATCTCTCTCTTTCCTTCTCTTCTTTTGACTGACTTTTGCGCACAACAGGCGCAGGTTCTCAATGTGACCATCTCAAATCTCACATCTGGCAAACTCATCTCTTGTCCTCACACCAAGTCACTTGTAGCGCAGGCAATCCTGTCTGGATTCAAGTGTCACAGGTATCGTATCAGGGCTTCGTGTTTCCCTTCTCCTCTATGATGGTGACAGCAGCAGTTTCGAAGGTGAACAACTTTCATTTCTCCTTCTCCTCAGTCTGCCTGGTCTTGTTCTTGTCCTCATTACTCCGACAGGCAAGGGCTGTCACGGACTTGCGCGCATGGCCAACGAGCAGCGGGTGCATCCTTCTCACCTGGACACCTCATCTTTCCGTCACAGACAAGAGGATATCCGAGCTGCTGGTGTTTCGCGTCTGGACGTCAGAGATCACTGATCCGCTATCGCTGACCTCGCACAACATCTCTCTCGCGGCATCTGAGCTGGGAGCTCCAAGGCTGGAAGTCTGTGGGCTGAAGTCAAAGATGTGGTACAACTTCACAGTGGAGACGAGAAACAACAACTCGCTAGGTTACCAGTCCCCGTCCTCCCTCATCGCTCAATCCGATGCAAGATGGCAGCCTGTCAAGGACCTCTACCTCAAGAACATGACTTCCTCCTCCGTCACCTTGACCTGGTCGCCTCCACCTGGGCTAGTATCAGACTACATGGTCAGCTGTCAGCCTCAGGGCGCAAACTCGGCTTCGTTCTCGCGTCTCATTTCCGACAACGAGATCTCTCTCTCAAGCATACCAACAGGGGTTGGATACAGGTGTTACGTCGTTGCCAGGAACCTGCTCACCAACATGTCGGGAATAGATGAGAATGTCTCGAGCTCGAGCATCGACTTCACGTGGAGGGCACAACCCCCAAGCGCGCACAACATCAGCATCTTGAGTATTGATGCAGAAAGCGTCACGGTCTCTGTCAATTCAGCCGATGCAGATGTAATGTTCTTTGTTCTCTTGTTGGATGCCACAGACGGGAACTCGCTTGTGAAGCCAACGACTCCTGACAGCTCAAACCAAACAAAATTCGTCGTGAAGAAGAGTGACTTCGTGAAGAGCTACGCATGCACTGGGTTGGTTCCAGCTACGAGGTACAAGATCAGCGTTTTTGTAGGCAGCAAGTATGGAATTTCATCCTCGTCTCTTCCCTTGAGCTCTGCCTCCTCCTACTTTTGGACGGCTCCTCCAGCTGCTTCCCGCCTTCGATTGACCTCGTTCACTGTCAATGATGCTACACCGCGAAAAGTTCAGGTCAACATCGAGTGGCATGCGCCTTGTGCGCTGGAGGCATCTAGGAAGAGTGAAGATCTCTCTTCATCCAAGTGTCTGGCCGACCTCACCTCTTCCTTGACCTACCAGTACAAGATAGCGATAGCAAAGACAAGCGAGCTACCAGCAAAGTGCGTATTGACAGCTTTTGTTGGATTGTTGAATGATTACCTTGCAGGATTTGGACCCAAGAAGTTGATAGCGGCAAGACAGGATCGATCTGCACGTACACCTTCTTAGATTTGGACCTTGACACCTACATCATCCGCATGGTCACCCAGTACCAGGGGATGCGATCGAGGTCTATCTACTTGACCTTCACGTTGACAGACACTGGGACGACGCCAGACAACTATGTCAGTGACTTCAAAGTAGCATACGTCAGCCAAGACACTCTCACTCTTTCATTCTACCCTCCCAAGGCAGCTCCTGTCAGCTCATACCAGATCTTTTGGGCTCTGGTGGAGGGTGGGTTCACAGGGCAGCAGCTGGGGAGTTTGGTGGTGGACTACAGGCAGTACAACGTGTTTGCCAACGGCTCTGGTGTAAATCTTGTGAGCTCTTTTTGTTTTCTACCCTCGGTCATCTGACGCAATCTACTTACAGGTTCCCATCACGGGTCTAACAACCAATACCTTCTACAGCTTCTGGATCCAGGTAATGCCAGTCTCACACTGCTTGTGAAGCAAGGACTGATAGGCTCTGCAGAACCGAAACCTCAACGACAAGGGATTCATACCTGTGGCCAATATCAACACCTGGCCTGCCTCTACCAGACTTGGATGTCTCGCCAACCAGGAGATTGCAGTCTCAACAACATGCTTACTGGAGGCTCCAGTCTTCCAGTCGTTGTCCGTCCAGCGTCTCCGGGTCTCACAGCTAGATGAGAATATTGTAGTCCTGGGCTGGCAGCTTCCACCAGGAGGATACTTCAACCGGTTCGCGCTCAGGTTTCAGATCAGCAGGTATCTGATCGCTGCCGACGGTTCAGCGTCAAACGAGTTCACCGTCAGCCATACCCCTGCCTGCTTGCAGACTCCATCGGCAGAATGTTCCTACACCGACTCTGGGTTGACTTCCAACCTAATCTACAGGTACGTGGTCAAAGTCAAGAACAACAACTCGATGGGCTTCGATGCAGGAGTTGCAGTCCTGGCTGAGACGAGAGTCGGAGAGTGTGTGATATCAGATGTCAGTTGTCGGACTGTCAACGTGACATCTGTCGCTTACGTAGGCAACAAGGATTCGGCTTACGCTGCCGTTGTGCTTTCATGGGCTTCTCCCTCCAGCCTGTTTGCTGGACAATCAGGGCAATTCTACTATAAGATATTCGCACAATCGGGAACAACCTGGCAGGCAGTCAATCTGGGGGTAGAGTACCTTCCTGGAACACAAACAGCTTTGGTTACAAGGATAGCAAGTCAGTACGTTAGTTTCGGAACGAACTTCACTTTCTTTGTTGAGGCAAGGAATCTGTACTGTCCACTGGCCAATACTGAATGCGTCTATTACGGTGCTCTTTTGGCACCTCTTCTCAGCAGCGACCTGAGGTTGAATGTGGCCCCTCAGTTCCAACCGCTACAGACTGAGATCTCCCCTGCGACCAGTGACAACTCTTCTTTCACGATCCGATGGCAGACTAGTGCTGACGTCAGCATGTCGTACCAGGTGTACGCCAAGATTGTCACAGATCCTAGTTTCCATCTGGTCGCGTCTACTAGAACAAGTTCTTACCGCCTCAACGGCCTCAACTCTTCTCTCTTCTATCAAGTCAAGGTCTACACTCGCAACCTCCACACCTTTGCATATGAGTCGCGAGGTAGCAACGTCGTGACGGTCAAACCGGTTGACAAGCCGGTTGAAGTCGCGAGCGTCTGGGTTGAGAGCGTGAACTACACGGAAGCTGTTGTTGCATGGAGGCTTTACGATGCAAGGATGAACATCTCCGGGTTTCTGATCAGCCTGGTGGGAGCAAACACATCGACGACTATCACGGCATCAAACCAAGGTCTCGTACTACAGACACTCACTGTCAGTGTTGCCCTCGTCTCAGCTGGCCAGTACTCGATCTCAGTCACTCCCTTCAACCTCGGAGGCAACGGGTCTACTACCTCGGTCCCCCTCCGGATCCTCCCACCTGCTCCTCCTCCCACACATCTCCATGCACAGGTAGTGGGGAACGCTGAGCTGCTGTTGCTGTGGACGCCTCCACTTCTGCCTACCAACGGCTCGTTCAACGCCACCTACATCAAGAACTTCGTCATCTCATGGACGCATGCCAACATGTCTTCCTTTGCAGTCATAGGCTACAGTCAGACTGCCAACTTCACCCACCGGCTCCTTCCTCTCGAGTTCGACGCTCTGCAGGGTCAAAACTTGACCTACCGGGTGTCAACGGTTATCGCTCAGAGCTCCAGTGCTGGTGGAGGAGATTTCGCCGGCGTCCCTGCCTCTTCCTCTCTCACGATCGGACATGCTCCGGCCTGGACGAGTACAAGTACAGCCGACGGGACGGTCCTTGAGGCCTGGGTAGGCAAGGCTTCCTACCTGCCCTTAGAAGCTGAAGACCCTGATGTCTGCGGGCTGCCGTCCTGTGACATCATCTCATTCAGTACTGTGATTGAGGCTCCTCTTGGCGTCAAGTTCGGGGCCATCTCGTCGGGCCAATTCCTAGAGAAGGGAGTTTACGTTAGAGGAACGACAGTCTCCGGTGTCATGCAGGTAGTTCCCTTGCCGTCGCAGGCCGGATCAAACTACAGCACCTGCGTGAGAGGGAAGGGGTCGAGCAACCTGACGACAGCAATAAGGTGCTTCGAGGTTGTGGTCCTACGACCAGAGCCCAAGTTGACGTCTCCTCCGAATGGCTCCGTCTACTTGGTTAGGCTCTTCTGGCCTTCGTCTCTCCTCCTCCGCTCGCTGACTCCTTGCAGGCGCACGTCGGCTGTTCGTTTGCACTGACTGTGATGGCCGAAGACCGGTCCTCCTCCTTCAAGTCACTTAGCGAGGCCAGCGCAAACGGATACTTGGTAGCGGTCGAGCCGTTCTTTACCATCATCTCTTCGTTCCTATATCACGAGGTACAAGTTCTTGCCACATCTTTCCTTCAACTCTAAACGATACAACAGAAGCGTTCAAGGCTTCCGGTCGGGGCAACCCTCGAAGGGACTCTTGGGAATCCAGCCAACTCATCGCTGCTGTGGACGCCTATCAGGGGACAGGTACGAATGAAAGATGAAAATGATATGAGATAATATTTATTTGCAGGAGGGGTTCGACTATGATATCTGCTTCATTGCCTTTGACGCGAGCTACAACTTCTCTTATGGCCAACTAGAAAACCAGCACTTCTGTATCAAGATAAATGTGGAGAGGTATTGGGATATTCGAACTTGGAATGCAGACTGATCGACTTGTTTCAGATGTAAAGTATGTATCCAAAGCGACAACTCACTTCAGGTCCTTTCATCTCCTTCTCAACTCGCATACCTGACAGCATGACGCCAGGACCTTGCGAAGAGTTGGGTTGCAAACTGGAGAGAAATCTGGAGCGGAAATCACTTCCTTCAAGATCCAGATGTTGTTTTGTCAGGACAAGTCGTTACAGTGGGCCCGACATATACCGTACAGGTACGGAGAAGCAGTTAGTATTGCTGTCAACGATATTTCATATGACTGCTGATGGCGTTGACGACATTACCTCTGTATAGAGCTGACCTGCTTACAGGACAACGATGACTTGTGGACAATCTCTCGTCGCTTCGGGACTTCTGTCGAACTGATTTTAGAGTGGAATCCGGATGTGATAGCATCGAACAGCAGGTCTGTAGCGTTGTCGCTAGAAGTTGATCTAATGTTGATGGTTTGCAGTGCCGTACTTATGGTGAATCAACTTCTTTGTGTTGTTCCAAACACTTGTGTCTACGATGCACATGTGACATGATCGAGTTTTGAAAGAGCGACCAAATAAACATATTGACAGTGAGATGCGGGTAGTTTTCATACTTTATTCCATCTTGAGCTTGCAGTCAAGCTTGTAGATGGATTCCATGAGAGAAAGACTTGCAAGGTGCCGAGCCCAGAGCTGAACCACAAAAGTGTCAGAACAAATAAGAGCAGAGGTTGTTTGGGCGCAAAAAAAACAGCTAAAAACCTTGTCTGTTACGTCTGCAAATTCTTCGTCCCTGTCTGTTGTCGTTTCATCAGGCTCATAAACATTCAAGGAGTGTGTTCATGTTTACCACTTTCGTTTGTTGGTGATGGTTGAATTGAAAACCCCTAGAAGGGTTCAAACATCAGCAATGCCTTCGATCTCACGTTGCAATCATCACGTTCTCTAGCCGCCTTGGCGTCTGTTGGTGCTGAAATATGATCTCTGACATAACATTCTCGAACTGCAGCCTATCAGTCAAGAGACAGGAAAGACAAGAGGGAAACACCATTTGGCCTTCATGTACATCGTTGAAGTTGAGGTTCAACATATTTCCATCACGACAAAGAAGGCTGAGAATGCGGTCAGAAGGGACAATTCGCTCTCTCAGCGTATACCTGATACGATGATTATCCTTTGCATTCGGATCGGATAAAAAACGAGATGTGATTGAATCTGTTTTGACAAACTCTGCCCTCACGTGTAAGAGCGACTCGCAAAGAGAAACAAGTCACACCATTCTTGACCACTTGCGAGATTTCATCAAAAGGAAGCAAAACTTTCTGCAAACAAGTTTGTGAGTCTCATGAACGTGTGCTGAAATATAAGCGTTTGGAAGCAAGAGATCACCTCTGTAGGAATGATCTTGATGATGATCTTTCGGTCACAGTCAAGCTGAGACAAGTGTCAGTCTCATGTGATCATGGAAGAGAGCAGCACACCAGCACAGAGCTGCGATCGTCGTGCTGAGTTTCCCTGAAGAGCAGGACGTTTGGAGATGGTACAGAGCTCGTCTTCCTTTCTTCCCACTTGTAGACCCACTTTGAAATATCCTCCATGCCTTGTAACCCTTCTTCATCCGTCAATAGCTCCTTCGAGATCCTGTTCATCGTGACATCTCGATTCAGTTTCCTCCTGCAGAAGCTCTGGGCCACATGGCTCAACATAGCTGCTTGCGCGAAGAAGGCACGGGAGCTCTGGTAGCTGAGCATCTCTTCGTAGGGAAGAGCCCTTGAGCCAGCCACGTCCAGCGCGAGCACGCGAGCGACCCGGTCGAAGATCATGACGTGATCGTCGCATCCTTCAAGAATCTCCAGCCTGATCGCTCGATGCTTCACCTCGTCGACCAGCCCGCACGATCCCATTGGGTTTCCCTCGATGTGCAGGCGCTCCAGGAGCTGTCGCAACTTCCACACGCTTGCCTTCCCCGTCCCGGCAGGATCAATCTCCTTCCACTTGTCCTGGAAGTTCTCGAGGTGGTTATCGTTGAGTACGAACTCAAGCTCTGCCACGAACGCCAGGTAGCAGTCGAGGATCACAGAGACGAAGAGCTGCATCAGGAAGCACACTCCCAGGTAGTACAGGTCGAAGAAGATGATCGCCCCGCCCCTGTTCCCACAGTCAGAGAAGTCGACGAAGGCTTTCTTGACGGTGGAATAGTAGCATGCCGTGCACTGAGTGCACTGCGGGGCCTCGATGGAGGCATCCCAGATCGCAGTTTCCAGCCTCTGACCTGTGGAGACCTCAAACAGCAGCAGCATTGCATGAGCGACGTCGTTGAGGTTGGAGTATGTCGTCATCCCGTGCCCGAACTTGAGCCCAGCAAAGAATTGCGAGCCGATGACCGCAAAGATGAAGGCGAAGATGACTAGGAGGGAGAAAGTGGCTGCGACAGGGGCGGCAGAGCTTGTCAAGGACAGCAGCATAATGTGCAAGGAAGGGAGTCGTCTGACGATACGAAACGTTCTGAAGATTCTGAAGAGACGAACAACGCGAAGAGACTGCATGGACGAGCGGCTTCCACCATTCAAAGTCAAGAAGATCTCGATAAGACTCACTGATGTCACCAGAAGGTCAAAGTTGTTCCAGGAGCTTGAGAAGAAATGAATTCGCTGAGCAAAGAGCTTCAATCCCATCTCAATCACATACAAGAAGATGAACACTATGTTCATGGCGTATGCAAAGTCTGACCACGAGCTGTTTGGGTTGTAGCTGTCGGAAGCCATGAGTAATGTGTTCAAGATGATGATGATCATGAAGAAATGCTGGAAAGCTGGCCGCTCAACAAACAGCCAAATCCGACGCTGCAAAGGATTCTTGGGAAGAGTAACCATCACGAACGGTTTGAGATTTGAGAGCTTGACCTCAAAGCGCCTCCAGTTCTTCTGCAAGGTTGTGAAGATAGAGGTTCCGCCAACTTGCCCTATGTTGTCAAGAAGTACTCCAATGATCAGAGGAGTGATGAAGAATCGAGAGATGATGATGAAGATCCAAAAAAAGACAAAGAAGCCCGGCTGATAATTATAGACAGGCTGATACCCAATGCCCTTGGCATCAATAGACTGGAATGCGATCTCTGGCCAGTGATCGAGGGTCCAAATCTGAAAGATAGTGTGGATAGTAGAAAAGAAGTCGTCATAGTTGTGGTGGCCAAGGTGCCATGCCCTGGGCATGAGAAACTCTGTGTTGTCACCTTTGAAGCCGAAGTAGAGGTCGCCTCGCCTGCCCGCCAGGAATGTTCCAGCACAATCCATTCTCTTGATGATCGCTGGAGATGTGAGATGTTTGGTCACCTCGTCACAGCCTGCAGATGTGTTGGGGTTGCAATTGACAGAGAGGAAGTTCACACGATGGCCGTTGTCGTTGTCGCTGCACATGTAAGTCTCGCCCGCGAACATGGTCTGCATGAAGATGGCAGAGACGATGCAGAGAAAGGCGAAGACGATCATGATGCTCCCGAAGTCCTGCAGTGACTTGTAGAGAACGCTCATCAAGAACTGGAGATGCTTGACACGGTTGAGGAGGCGAAGAGGTCGGAGAACGCGGATGACGCGGAGGGCGGTGAGACCAGACAAGCCAGCCAGGTCAAGGACTGAAGCCACGACGACGATGAAGTCAAGGATGTTCCAGCTGGTACGGAAGTATGCCTCGGGGTGCTCCCAGTATATCCCATGGTCGAGCATCTTGAGAACCATCTCTATGAGGAATACGACGAAGGCTCCTAGGCTGAGCCGTTTGGAGGCGGTGCTGTTGATGAGGGAGTACTCGGGGACGGGGGAGTCGAGAGTAAGGACAACGCAGGAGACCATGATGGCAGCAAGGATGAGACGCTGGAACCAGAGATTGTTCAGGAAGTCCCTAACCAGCCCTCTCACGTTCTTCGGCGCATCAGGGTTCTCTTCGTTGGGGGTTGCAGGAGCAAAGATGCCAAAGATTGTCACGTCGCTGACTTGCTCGACGTTTTGGTCTTCTTTATCTCTGGTGATCAGCTCAAGAATGTCTCTGCTGTTGCTGTTTTTGACTTCTACGTCATGGTCGTCATGCTCCAGCTCCCGGTTTGCAAAGTTTCCAGCCTTCTTGAAGTACTTGTCTTTCAGCGCTTGCACGTTGATCTTGCGGAAGCTCAGGGCTTGCAACGATACCTTGTCCTCCTCAGGAGTGTTGAAGCTGTCGAGTATGACGGAGATGTAGTAGTTGGAGATAAGGAGATTGAGGATGATGTAGGAAATGATGAAGTACATTATGGAAAGGTACTCTTTCATAAACCCCGTGGTGAGGCTTCGCATCCCTGCCAGCATCGTATCGCTCCAGTCCTCCCCTGTTGTAACTGAGAACAGTACAATGATGCCGTTCCAGAAGGTGTTGAAATTGTACCTCCGGCCAAAGGAGCAGGTGAGGTAGAACGGGCAGTTGTAGTGGTCGAGGCATGAATTCTTATAGTAGGGGCAGTCGTCTTCTCCGCAGTCCTCCTTCACTGGGCACATGAAGATCTGCATACCGAACAAGCAGAGAATGAAGAGGAACAGGATCATTACGAAAGAGACGTGGAGGGTGCCCTGAAAGGCACTTGAAGCTCTGTTGAACAAGAGGCGGAGCCGATGGAAAGTGACGACCATACGGAAAGCTCGTAGCAATCGAAGAGCTCGAAAGAAAGAAATGTTTGGAAAGTCAATGCCGAAGACGCTCAGGAACATCAGAAAGTCTGCGATGACTACAAGAAGGAAGTCGAACTGATTGATTGGCCTGACGATGTAACGATAGAAACTGCCCAGAGCTAGCATCTTTGACACGGCTTCGATGGTGAACACAATATTGAATGTGATCTGAATGACGTTGAGAGCAAAGAACCAAGGAGGAGACATAATCTCAACATTGTCGGGGCAGTAAGAAGGATTGTTGCAATTCATGTTGACAACTCCGTCGTAGTGACTCATCGTCATGATCAGAGTATTGGTCACAATGCATATGAAGATGACGATGTCTGAGTAAGGCAGTGCATTAGGCGAAACAACCTGATTCCGCTCCGAGTCATTCTTGCCCTGGATGTCAAACTGCTTGATCATCTGCCGGATGTCGTCCCTGCTCTCGTCCTCCGACACTCCCTCTCCTCCAGGGATCACCGCGGAAGAAGGAAACATTTCCTTCACCCGATGCCTCGACAGATTCCGAGAAGGGTCATCGCCCCCTTCATCATGCTTTCTCGACTTGAGTCCGATACTTGCTCCCCCCGTTCGCGCCACCAGGCTCCACTCCATGGGCCCTGGCCCCCACCTTATGTCGATGTTGCGCTTCCTGGCCTCCACGATGACGTCGCCCGGCACTCGCTCACCACACTCGTCCACCACGTGCGGGGCAGACATCAACTTGGCAAAGAAGAGAGACGTCTTAGAAAGGGGCTTCGTGTTGCGCTTGCTGTAGATCGGATTGATGCTGAAGATCCACAGAAACTTGACCTTCTCCTCCTCGATCGGAATGATATCTTCATCATGTAGCGCCTCAACCCTCGTCTTGGACAACATCATCTTCACCATGTCTTCGAACTCGTCGTACCGGATGATGCCGTCTCCGTCTGTATCGGCTTGCATTGTGATTTCCTGAACTTCAAGCTCCGACAGTTCCAGTCCTAGCTTCAGAAGGGCGCTGGATAATTCGTCAGCAGTGATCGATCCTGAGCCATCCGAGTCAAACGCGACGAACGCCTGTTTGATCCTCTGCCCGAGCTCGCGAGGAGAAAGTTCGTCCAGAGCCCCCAGACTGCCTAAGATCAAATGCTTTGCCCTCTCTCTAACAGAGATCTCCTTGTCAAGCTGATGCTCGTCCTCCATCTGTAGCTGGGACAGAAGAGCGCTCTCAGCCTTGGCCATGGCATCGTCCCAGACGATCTGCCTCCTCCTGTCTCGGACCTTGTAGTAGACCGTTGTGACGATAGCAGTGGACAGATTGAGCAGCCAGAAACGAATCACGATAACAATGACCATGAAGTAGACACACCAACCACTCCCGTACGCTTCCAAAATCCCATCCATGATGTAAGTCCACTGGCTCAGTGTTGACACGATCAAATTTGTAAACAGTGCCTGCGCAAAGTTGCTGTATCCTAAGAAGCCATAGTACATGTCAGTCGGAGTGCCCTGATTAGTCTGTCCATACAGGCCACGCTCTATCCTCTCGCAACCAGGCCTTCCCTGGAGGAAGCTCCTGTCGTTCAAGTTGTTCCGGGGGGGTAGACAGGAGCATTCAAATCCATCTCCACAGTCTAGATTGGAGCCGCAGTGTCGCTCAGGAGACTGCAGCTCTCCAACTGTGCTGGCTTTGTTCCAAATCGAGGCGTTCCACCTCATGGCAAACTTGTTCGTCTGAGTGACGACGCACCTGCCATGGAGTTGCCCGTCACCGAACAGGGATGTCCCAAGGATGGCAGCGATGATCATGAAGAAGAACCACAAGTTGAAGAGGTTGAAGAGCGCTTTGAGGGAGTTGGGGATGCAAATGATCACATCGCATGTCCCTGGGATGACCTGAACCCATCGGATTAATCTGATGAATCTTGTCAGCTCCACAACTTTGCCCCATCCAACTGCTCTGAAGACGTTCATACTGCGCAATGGCAGGAGGATGATTCCAACGAGAGTGATCAAGAAGTAAATCTTGTTCCAGTGCAAGTCGAAGTAGCCATCGTCATTTTGCTCTTCCAGCATCCTCTCTGCAATCATTTTCTCGAACTCACTAGACTCGATGCAGCCTGAGTGGTCCTTGTCGAGCGCCATGAACAGCCTGTGGGCCTGTTCGCTGCTTGTTCCATATCCCAGGCCTCTCATTGCAACTCGCAGCTCGAACTCATCCATGGTGTCATTGTTGTCAGTGTCAAACAATCGAAACATGTCTTTGATACCCTGCAGCTCCTCGTTGCTCAACAGAGTCCTTGGATCCACCTCCTCCTGCACCTCTGGCTCTCCTTCCTCCACCGCACTATGATTGCCATCTTCAGGTTTGGGGTCTTCCTTGCTGTTTGCAGACACTCCTTTCTTCCTCTTGAACAACCCGAACAGCAACATGTGAAGCAGACTTTCCAAGGCGAACAGGATGCATGATATGTCCAACAAGGTCTCCATCCCGTTGGAGCTCCAGTTCCGTTGGGTGGGCCAGAACGAGACGACATCGTTGAAGGCGATGAACGCGCAGACAAAAAAGATCCAGACGGCCCACACACCCTCATACCACGTGCCCCTCACGGTCTTCTTGATGCTACGGAGGCTCTGTCCCCGATTCCTGCTTGCAACCATGACCAAGACTTGGATATGTCTTCAGAGCAATGGATCTCAGCTCCTCGTCATGTGTGGGAGAGGAGATACATTCCACCCGGGCTAGGAAGTGACCTGCTTCCAACGTCAGAGTCTCGAAGAAATGTCCATATAAATCACGCAAGAAAGGACCAGCCCCTGGAGCAAAACACTCGGACCGTCATTCAAGAAACGAGAGGACCCATCCATCTAGGCAAAATGATGGAGTCGTGCATATCATGACCAACATCTGCACGAGGGTGCACCACGGGCAGTGCGAGCAGCGCATGCATGTTTAAAAAAAATATTCTTCGCATAGACGGTGAGAGAATCATGCTGAAAGGCTATTCCACTTCGTCTTGCAACACAACGCAGCTACACAGCAATGCATGCATGCGAACTGCTAGTTCCCCTCCCCCTCCTCTCCTCTTTCTCCCGCCATTGCAGTCAACTTCTGCCATTCCAACTTGGGTGACTGTGGCACGGGTCAAAGCTGTCAAGTGAAACAACTTTCGCCACCCTACCCCTGCATGTAGACCCCCTACCCATCTTCATACTGCTGATCACCCACCCTTTTCTATTATGTTCCGAACCCCACCCCACCATATCCCAATACTGAGCTCCCTACTAAAAAAAAAACAATTCAAGCTCGCCTCATTGATTATATAGCAACAATTCAGCGACATCAAATGCTCTATAGGTTCAGAAGATCCGACCTGCTGGGCACAATGCGGATTGAAAAACAGGGGGTGGGGTTATCCCACATAGTTGCCATTGGCCAACGGCGGAAAAAGTACGGGTTATAACAAAGATAGATAGACGGGTAGTCTAATGAAATCAATGAAATGCTGGTGGGGTAGTACCGAACTAGGGGGTGGTCAGAAGACGGAGTCGGGAAGAGTCGATGCTGGAACGACTAGTGGGGAGGAACAGAAATGGGGTTGACGGGAGGGATACAATGAAGGAGAGGAAGGGAAAGACGCGGTGATGAAAGGGATGACAAGTAACATGGCAGGAGAAGTCAATAAAAAGTGACGGGGAAGGAGAGTGAGGAGAAGGAGATGGTAGAGGAGGAGGTCTAGACGAAGGGAGTGCTGTTGTTGCTCGACGCGAAAGAGCGGGGAAAGGAAGCAGGCGTTGCAGAAGAGATACGATTATAAAAAGGGACGTAAAATGAACACAGAAGGTAAACAAGCTCAGAGATGTAGTCGTACAGGTAAGGGTCTGGATGTAATTTGATAATGATGGGGAATTGTAAACGTGTTAGACGAGAAGGAGATGATGAGAAATAAGAGGGAATAAGAATGTGAAAGAAGCCAAACGACGGAGAAGGACAAGAGATCGTGCAGATGCTTTCAAGTCGAACCGGGCTGAACACAGCGACATCTGAGCTGGGATGCAGGGCTTGATTCTACGGCTGCCCAGTGAAGGCGGCATGAAGCAATCCTCACCTTAATCGTCGTTGTGCTGCACTCGCTGCACCTCAGATGTTGTGTTAACGCCTCTGAAGGCAGATGACTTGAAGTCTTCTCGTGACAGGCTCGCAACCCATGAGCGGGGATTGCGGTTTCAGCGGGAGGGAGCATGGGGGCGGACGGGGAAGTCAGGACCTGTTGTGCGACGGATTCGAAAGGGGGAAGGCTGTGTATGATGAGCATAGGTTCTCAGTAGGATCCTTCAGCGATGAGTTCGTGGCTGTTGGGATGATGTCACCAAGGTTGGATGACTGTGCATACCTCCTCTTGCTCCTTCACATAACATGCCCTGTTCAGGTACTTGAGATCGGAGATGTTCTCTCCTCGTATGATCGAGAGACAGTAAGGAAGACTTTCATTCTGTCCAACTGCTTACAGCATGGCAGGTGGACCCAGGAGGAGAGGCAGACTCAGGCCGGGAGGGAAGGATCGGTAGGAGTTGGACTGGTGCTGGATCAGCGAGGGTCCCAACTTCTCGTACACGGGTTCGTGAGGGGCAGCTCATCGTTTGCCTGCGGGACGTTGGAGAAAGGTGACATACTGCACATGGTCGATGACGTCATCGTGGACGGCATGCCCCGGTCGCAGGTAGTTGTCCTCCCCAAGTTGCGTCTGTTGTGAGCAGTGTCGTCAGATCGCTACTCTCATCACTGGCAAGGTCGGGACTGAAGTGAAGCTGACTTTCCTAAGACAAGAGACGGTGGCGATCATGGAGAAGCTGGCAGGGGATCAGGAGGAAAGTGGGGGATACGGCTTCCATCCTCTCGTCTTGTCCTCTGGATCCCCAGGCGTCGTGTCGCACAGGATGAGGAGGGTGGCACCGAGGTACTGGAGAATGCTGAAGTCTTGACCTGCGTTTGACTTGCCCTGTGCAGGTACATGCAAGTGAAGGTCTGTCTGACTAGAGGCCAGCAAGTGGGGGAGTACATTCCTGATCAAGACTTGAAGCGTACTCATTCTTCTGCACAATCGCACTGAGCATAACTTTCTGTCAGAATGTAGCGAGGAGGAAGTTGGGAACGGTGAGCAGACGGTTCGGGGCTGGATGTTCCAGACAGACTCAGAGCGGCAGCATAAGAGTCTGCAGTCGTGGATGACTCAGGATATGAAGGTCGAGAAGGCGCAGGAGTACGGTGAGAATACCTCTTGATGAAGATCGCCTTCATGACCTTTGTTGCAACTGATAATAGGGAGTTGGCGCTTTTACGCATAGTAGCTTGAAGCAAGACACCATCCTCTGTGTTTTTCCTCCTTGTCTTATCTATTCTGCTACTGTTTTTTTTAGCAATCCCATCCTCTTCCTACCTTCCTCCCTTACTTCATGACTTCTCCTCCTATTTCCTTTTCTGTGTTTCATTGGCATCTCCCTTTGTTGTTGCGTCCCAATCTCCCCCTAAACTCACTCTCTCCTCAGTACAGTAACTTTCAATTAGTGAAAGAAGTGAAATTTCTTGAGAAGAATTCAGCTTATCTGCATGCCGCAGTTATCCCACCTCCTTTCACGAGCTCAAACTTTCTGCACGGAGCCAGTCGGGCACCTGCGAGATCCTTAGCTTACACCGTGCGTCGTGCCCCGTTCCTGCTCCTCCTCACCCCCTTTGCCATCTCTTTCCTCCCTCTCCCGTTCTCCTTCTTTCAGATCCTCACTCTGCACTCAGCCCCTGACACTAAATCCTGAAGGTCCTAACGCTCTTGATCTACAAGTCCCTCGCTCACGTTCGTTGCCTTTCCCAACATCAGAGAGCTTGTCCTCATGGCGCAGAAGCGTTTCTGTCCTTTTACGACCCTCTCCTCTCCCTCAAGTCTCTCCTTCTTCCATTATCCCTTTTCAGCTCCTTCCCCGCTTGCCTCCTCCGCTCCTTCGCTCCCTCGCTCCTGACCCCAACCACCCAGCCAGCTCACCTGAGGGTCTGAAATTTCTTTGCGGCTATAGATGAGCTGAAGCTCTTTACTCTGAAGCTTCACCGTGTTGGCAAGGACAGCCTGTTAGCTCAGCAGTGTCATCATCCGTTGTGTTCGACCCCTCGCTCTCTTCTCGATGCCCTCGTTCGCACTGCCCTGCGATACCTTTCTCTTGCCACTCTCCTTCCCACCAACCTACAACCCCTCCCTCCAACACTATTCACTGCTCTTCTCCCCATTCCTTTTCTCTTCTGCACACGCCCCCCTGTCTTCCCGTGTCCCTCTGTTACCTGCAAGGTTGCAGTAGCATTCTCTATGACAGTCTTGAGATCATCGGTAAGCTGAAACCATGAGAGTATGAGGGCTGCAAGCTAGGCACCAATGTCAGATCGTCAGAGCAGGAGGCGGAGGAGAGAAGGAGCAAGAGGTAGGAGGTGGGACAGAAATGGTTGGAACGGACCAACAGAAGGGACGGAACTGTGGCGAAAAGGGAAGGAGGAGGGAGCGAGGAGGGAGCGGAGAAAGAGCGGTGAGAGGAGAAAAGATAGCAAGGTCGACACCATATCTCCCGTGCCCGTGAAGGTTGCCTCTAGCTTGGGAATCGTGATCTTGAGTCTCTGGGGAGGCTGAGAGGAGGAGGAGAGAGAGGCGAGCAGGAAGATAGAGTCCGATCCCTCCAGGTGCATGCTTGTGATGACGACGCACTGAACTCCCCGCTCGTGCAGAATGTCAATCGCCTTGACAGCTGAGCTGATGTCGGAGATTTTCACTCCTGTCAGAACTTCTGCCTCGAACTACGAGATCGTCATGCCAACTGACAGGCAAAACCACGATCAGACCTGGTTCGGCGTCAAGATCGTGGCCTTTGGGACCACCTCATCGCGATAGACAGACACTATCTCCTGCGGCACGTATAGCTGACCGTTGTCGCCCATCACGGGGTCGCAGACTGTGAGAAAAGTCATGAAGGAGATCGCAAGCAGAAGGAGAAGGAAAGAGGAGAAGGGAGAGCTGGGGGGCGGGTCGGAGAGTGGAAAAGAGGAAGGAGCCAAACGTGGATGAATGGGAGCGAGAGGGAGAGACGGAGAAAGGGAGGGACCGAGAAAAGGAATGAGGAAGGGGGAGGGGAAGGTGTGTGTGCGGGGGGGGGAGGGGGGGATGCAAGGGGGAACGGTCGTGCGGCGAGAGAGAGAAGCTTGCCATAGATCACTTGGCCATTTTCCTTCCTCAGCTCGTCCAGTGTTTCCATCACGCAACGGATCAGCGACGCCGACCGCATGTAGCCTGCCACTGCTATGAGCTGGGTACGTCACAGCGCAGGGCTGACCTGTAAGGAGGTGTGTGTGTTTCAGAAGTCCGTTGGATCTCAGCCCTCGGATCAATTCACTCAGATCGTCCCCATCGAGAGCCTTTCCTGGTAACATTCATCACCTCCCTGGAATTGGCGAGAAGCTGGGTCCCCCTACCCGTCCATGTCGGGTATCCCGTGTGGTTGGAGAACTGAACAGAGTTGACGAAGTCTACCTCGATCCCCAGCGTTTGCATGGGGAATACTGCACTCTTGTTGCCCACATACCTGCCCAACAGCAGGTCAAATCCTGCACTACTCTCAGCATATTCCCTCACCCATGTACTGTATGAGATTGGATGGAAAGGACGCGCGGAGACTGGACGCGGAAAGAAGGGATCATGGTAGAAGGTGTCGTGCAAGAGCTATGCTTTCATCGTCTCAGCGTGGCTTCAACCCGAGTTCCTTGCTGAAAAGAAACCTTTCCGCTACTAAAGGTAGTCAGGAACGGCCAACATCTTTCACATTGAGCAAAGACAAGCGCATTCCGAGATACTTGTATTCTCCTTCGCCCATGTGATCGATCATACATGGTCTGCTTCCTACCTATCGCATGCTCTCTATCAACGTCTGGCCCCTCAAAGGCATCGATAACTCAACGTCGATGCGGCGAGCAGTCCTAACTGCCCATAGCCCCTCAGAAAGCTGTATCGATGGCACAACGAGTCCACACTGATCAAGCATGCACAAGAGCGACTACTCTGACATGTTCCCGCTTCTCTCCCCCGCCCCCCTTCTTCTCCTCCCCCTGCCTCTCCCTCGCATTCGGCAAAGTGCGCAGGCGCCACTATCGCATTGGGTGGCTGTCCTCACTTATAAGTCAACCGATACAATCCATCTCCGCCTCAGAGATTTTGAAAAGGAACAGTCGAAAAGTTGTAGAACCGCTCAATAACATTTGAAAGCTGAGAAGAAGATTTCACAGAAACCAAAAACTCAAACTTTAACAAGTCAATGTAGACCTTGCATTCCCCTTGTCGCAATGCAGGATGGCGGGAGTTGCATACTCAAGAGAATAAACCACAATGTGAGGCATGCCGATGTGTAATGCTGACCTTTACATAGCTTGCTCGCACACGACTAGACTTTGACAGTGCAATGGTGGAATCGCATGAGGTCAATCCCCCCGCTCATGAGTATTTCACTACCAGCGCACTGTCGGATGCCCAATGGGTAGTACAGGGTGATTCTCCAGACTCCGAGGAACGCAAGGAGAACAGAGTGTGGATGAATAACAAGTATTGCACTCCTTGTGGTCACTGGCAGCAAACAGGACGTCTGTGTGAACACGACATCGCTGTTTGGTACCATACTCATCCTCATCATAGAACAGCAGAAATGATTTCAGAGTTTATTTGGTACATGTTTGCTAACTAAGACATTCATCGAGGCACGTGTTCATAGTGTCTGTACACCGAGGCATGTTCCTTTCTCATGCGAGTTTAGTTTAAAGCCTACAGACCACTTCTCTCCTCCTCCTTCCAAATCCCAAGCTGCAGGCAGGACCCCTGCACGTGGTTAAATGCAAATCTGACTGCGTCCGGGACACAGGTTGTACAAGGCACAAGAAGCCTCGGAATATTAACTTTGTCTCTACGTATTTCTATCCGGATCTGGAATTGCTGCTTGAATTGCGATCTCTCCGCGAGGGAAAGATGCTCCAAGTATGAGAAGTCATGGAAGGAATAAACTTGTTGATCTATGAAGAGTTGTGCACGGCTGCAGAGATAGAGAGAACGTGATTGTAAGCAGGAGGGAACTAAGTACGAGTTTCATGGTTTGTTTTTTAGAAAGGGGGGGGGGGTTGACGGGTACTTGGGTGGATCGAGGAGCTAGGTTCAAATGAGCGTGCTGAGAAGATGACCAATCATCATTTTGAAATAAGGGCACTAACATGCGATGTTTGGAAGCTAACGATTCAAGTCAAACAAGTAGAGACCCGTGTGCAAATTCACCACTTTGGTAGGATGCATTGAATTGTTCAAGACATCTTCAAAACAAAAACAGACACAACAATCACACGATCAGTAAATAAGAACACATAAAAACTTGCTCGCATCCCATTACAAATGCAAGAGTTGCATTTGAAAACATCAACTGTGGGTGGGCAACAAGAAGTGCATCGCATGGCCATTGTAATCAGTGGTCAAAGCACTACTTGCAACCCCCTAGCCAAAGCGATCCGAAAATCAATACAAACATGCTTTATTGACATCAAACAAAATCATCCTCGGCATACACATCAGCAGGTCTCGGGGCAGGCAAGGGAGGAGTGCCACGGGTGATATCTCCGGCCTCTTGTACTCCCGGCGTGCCTTCCTTGATCCTCTCCCTCCGGCTCTCCTACATGCCAAAGAGGTGCCTGTAGAAGGTCTTCTTGCTCGCAAGGGATACCTCGAAGGGGGTCGCGATGGGCTTCTCGGCGAGGTCGAGGCGGTGGTGAGCAGCCGTGGCGAGGACCTCGTGGAAGGCCTCCGTCTTCGCCACCTCCACGTACCTCCGCGCATGCACCGGGGCGTGCGCCCTAGGCTGCATCTCGGCCAGCGCCGGATGCGGGGCGGCCAAGTGGAGGGACGGAGCGTGGACGACGGAGTCGAGGGCGATGAGACGGGCCTGGGCGGGGACCTGGTGCGGCATCACGGCGCCAGTAGCAGGATGAGGCATCTGCGACATGAGCACGTCGTGCTTGGCTTGGGCGATGGCGAAAACGGGGTTGGTCGACATTGGCGATGTTGGGGTTGTGGAAGGTGTGGGTAGGAAGCGATACAGGAGGTCACAGGGAGGCTGGCTGGGAAGCACTGAGAGCAGCGAGAGGTCGGCTGAGAGCTGAGGGGTGAGAGGGCGTGGAAGTAATGGAGGTGGGAAGGGAGAGGAGGGAGGTTATATAGGGGCGGGAGGGGAGGAGCAAGGAGGGGGGAGGGGTAGGAGAAGAGGGTATATTTAGAGACAGAAGTGTCAGCAAGGAAGAGAAGGCCTCGGAAGGGAGAGGTTTCGAGCTCCCGAGAAAAAAAGAAAGCCAACAGCCTCCAGGCACTTCACTCAGTCAAATCTGAATGAAATACCCCGACCTTTCAACCCAATCTTGATTCTATGCTATGTTTAGATACGGACTTCCCCGGCTGCAACTGACGGTCACGGTCAGGGCCCGTCGCGGACAATCAAGCGGCCGTCGAGGCTTCAGGCATAGCCCGGCCTGTAGTCCACTTGACTTCGGACTCGGCAGCCTCAGCGGAACGGTGCCGGCCGGGCGGGGCCCGACCGTATTGACGGACCGCCGGTACCGTACCGTGCCACCGTGAACTTCCCGAAGGTCAGCCGGGCCGGCAAACTTGACAGTGACTCCAAAAATCGGCCCGGCCCGGCTGAGCACGAGACTGAGAACTTGTTTACTCAAACGGTTAAGGAGAACAATCAGTGAGCCAGCCTGCCACGCCCCGGGCCCGTCCGACCGTCATCACTGCTTTATTCGGGAGTCCGACAAACGGTGCGTGAACGGTCGGGATGAGCCTGGCGGCGGCCGGGCCCTAGGCCCTGAGGCTTACGGACGTCCTCGGAGTTCGGACAGCCGAGTCACGGATCGGCCCTGGGAATGGTACTGGCACCGGGCAGCCGCCGGGCCGGCAGGCACGGTGATAGACTCATCATTGAACGCGGCCCGCGGCCGACACTGAGTGTCCGATCAGCCGGGTCCCCACTGTCCTCCGGCGAGGCTTTCCTGCCAGGCTGAGTCAAGTGTCCTCGTACTGATCTTTGACTTAAGTTCCGTAGTGACTGGCTTTGAGTAAAGGCCGGGGCATTGCGGCGGCCGCAGTGAGCGCGGCAACGGCCGGGCCCCCCGCCGCGCGGGGACTGGCCGGGCCAAACGGCGTCTCGTCGGAAGAGCAACTTGAAAGGCGCCTCGACACTGTGACAGCGGCGAGCCTCCGAGCCTGAGTGCGGCCCACAGGCTGGCCCCACCGTGGCGCCAGTGGGCCGCTGCAGTGGCACTGCACGGTGCCCCCGGCCGGCCGGCCGCGCCGGCCGGCGCGGCGCGGCGTGCCACACCCCCGGTTTGACTGTCACTCTGACTCCCGCCCAATGAGGCCCTGAGAATCGGAGGGGCCGCGGGGAGCCAGCTCCGACGTTGGCCCATCCGAATCTGTGAGGTAGGAGGCCGGGGCCAAGCCATGGGTCCTAATGGGGAAGGGTAGTGCAATTTCTAAATAGGTGGGGTAGATTTCTCAATTTTGAGATGGTGGGGTATGTCTATATGATTGGTCAGAATATGGCTGGGTGGGGTTGTCTGCTTACGTCCCAACGTAGAGGTCAGCATCAGGTAGGGCATCGAAATCCTTCTTTTTCGTGATCCTTGGCCTCCGAGCCAAACTTTTTATTTTCAGAATCCCGTCTTTTCGACCCTTAACCGCTTCTATGACTGCTTCTTTTTACTAGGAAGAACCCCTCCTTTGACCAACCACTACCCCGTGGTTTAATGCTCCCCGAGCCTGTGCACTTGTTATGAACCCCCTCGACCGTACCTCCCCTATTTTCCTCTACATTGTACCCACCGCAGCAAGGGGATATCCTTTGGATAAGGTACCCCGACCCCCCCCCCTCCTTATCCTTTTTCGCCTTGCCCCTGCTCTTCCGCCCCTCTGTGCGACTATTTAAACCCCTTCCTCTGCAGTGGTTCACAACACAGCGCTGCTTCCACGTGCTCTGCTTGTCCCTTCACCTGCCACTTGCTGTTGCTACCCACGCTCTCTCGCTTCTTCTGCATTTGATCTACAATGGCAACCAACCCCGTCTTTGCTGTTGCTCAAGCCAAACATGACGTCCTCGTCAATCACTTCCCTGCCCCGTCGACTGGATCAGTCCAGTCTTATCAAGTTCCTCTGGATGCTCGCCTTGCAGGCCTCAATGCCGTGATGCACCCTGGCATCCACCACCAGGCTCACCCCGTTCATCATCCGAATGTGGTCCCACAGCAGGCTTTCGTTGTCGCACCTCAGCATGTCCAACAGCCTCATCCGCACATTCATCATCGTCAATACGTGGAGGTTGCCAAGACCGAAGCCTTCCATGACATCTTGCACAATGGAATGCATCGAAGACTCGACGACCACAATGCTCCTGTCAGCAATCCCACGGGGATCGCCTTGGCGTCTAGAAGGCAGTTCTACCAAAAAGTGTTCGGATTCTAAAAAAGTTCCATCGTTCACAACCAAACCTTACCCCCATGCTATGAAAGTCAGGGAGCAGTTGGACCATTCCTCGCTGAGTCCTTCTCCCTTATGAAACGTCATAATTCATTAATTTATTGATATTAAACCTCATGATACATGTTTCAAGGACAAGTTTTCAACAACACTTTACTCACTAGTCCCTGGACATGGAAAAAATATCACCGTGGTTGAGAATAAGACACAACCAGACTGTATCCCATCTTCCTGAAACCTGTTCAAACACCTACATGCTAACCCTGAGATTTAAAAAACAAAGCTCGTATGAATTGTTCATCCTGAACAAAGACGAAATGCAATGCCAAATCATCCCAATTTTGGCAAACAATCACTTGTGCATGAAAGGACTGCAAGACCGGGCCAAGCTCCATTCTGCTGAATGATTCACTCGTGTGTAAATCACACACAGGGGCCCGAGTCCATACATGGCCACAAATGAAATGTTCCAGGTTCAGACCCCCTACAAACAATAGACCCCCTACAAACAATAGCACCTGGAGTCATTGCCGACATCACCATAAAATG